AAATCCCCATATCCCGAAATATGGTTTTGCCTCATATTTCCATTCCTCTGTCCCCTGGAACATAAAATATCCTAAACCATGTATCTACCTATGCATTCAGAGGCATAAACAACAAAGAGAACATTCCCATTTTATCCATTTTACAGTATATAGCAGTGGTTCTCAATCTGTGGCCCGTAAAGGCTTCAAGAAATGTTATGATTTCAATCTTCAGGGTCTGGCCACAAAACATAATTAAAGAGGATGTGGGGTGAAGAAAAGGTTGAGAACCAGTGGTATAAAACCAAGCTTCCGGTTTGGAAGTACATTTTGATTTAGGATAGTCACCCAACTGAGTTATTAATGGCTCAAGCAAGGCTAGATAGTTGCCAGTGATACAGGCTCAGTAAATATCTTATTTGGAAGACTCTAGGGTATGTTGAAGCTGCCCTTGAAATGTTAGTAACAAAAGACACCAAATAATTTAAGATGTTAATGAGTGTAGTCTTAATTGAATTAAGAAGTAGAAGAGATTTGCTTTTAAGACTCCCCAGGCAGTGCATAAAAATGGCTGAAGCATTTTCCATTTCAATAGAGGCTAAATGCATTTTAATGCCTTTCCTCTTTTTTATGTCCCTACTCATTTATGACAATGCAAAATAAATAACTGAAATCGAAATGTAGCAGAAAGCCTGTTCCCAAGTTATTTATTTTCTTATGCATTCATTATGTCATAACACATTAATGTATCATCAATTTGGCAAAGAAGGGCTTAAAGATTATGCTTTTTAAAAACAGTTATAATTAAGACATGATCTGTACTTTGATATACAAAAGTCAAACATGATTGAAAATTAATTACACTGGTGGAAAATATACATGAAGATATTACAAGGTGCAGTTAAAAATAGGAAAATTTCAGGCAGAGTGATCTCTTACATAGTTCATTTATAAAAGCCCATTTAAAAAGTCTTTATTAAATTATTAGTGGCAATATGCTTTTTCTGTGCATAGGAATACTATCTGCAACATAAAGAACAGATGCATTATTCACTTTATGTATCCTCTAAGTATCCTCATACCATTTTAGATTTGAATACTTGCAAGCCTACTACTACAACAGAAATATCTATATTTAAGTAAAATATCTGCATAAACCTTTGTCATAATAACAGTGCAATATGTCTGATGTACCCACTGGTATATAACACAGGTTGCAGCAATTTTGGCCAAACTTTGCCATTCTATTAATTTATACTGGGGAAAAACAAGACGTCGTGAATAGCACTTCCATAATACCGTATAATGTGCAGTCTTGAGCCATACAGTTGTCATGTTCACAAAATAAGTAGCTTCCAGGTAAATATATTTAGGATTGAGGTAAAAGATCACACTCCTTAAATCACTTTCTGAAGCTTTCCTGGTGTAATTTAAGAATCCTGGGAGATACTAGGATTGCAATAGAATATTAGATGTTTGATAGTTTATCAGTTCTTTGGTACCAGGAAACAAAAATGTTATCTCAAAATATCGAAGTATGAGCCATTTAACTGCTGTTCAATCTTCCAAAAGACATATTTAGTAATTTATTTTGTAAACATGGAGTCTCATTCTATTTCAATTTTCAAGTATAGTCTGGAAAATACACATTGGATTTTTAAGACTAACTGAAAACCTGCTTTTATAATATAGGTGTATAAGATATATATTTTTGTAGCTATGATCTAAATGAAATTGTATACAGTATTGTAAATAATATATTTAATTACTTGGATCTTGTCACTACATTAATAGAAAATTACAAAAATAACAATTGGTAGAACATTTCTCCAACACAGGATGCCAGAGATCTCTTTAATCAAGTTCTGTTTTAAGCCTTTTCTATTAATCACAATTCCTTGGAATAAGAAACCATAATTACTAGAAAATACTTGTCTTATTTAAAACTGCAGCATAAAATTAATTTATAATAGCAGCCAGTAAATCAAGTCTTAAGTTTGTAGAACTAAACATAAACAATAACTGGGAAGGGACTTCCTAAGGCAATCAAGAATCTATGCTTACAATATGCAAGCAATAATTCCCCAAAATGAATGTACATTAAATGTTTCTAATTATACCATTACATGTTCATAAGCAAAATGCTTTGATAAAGCACTTAAATAAAATCTACACATCTTCCAATACAATCAGCATGATATATCATACTCTTTGGTATAATTTCTTGAAATTAGTAAGATTTTCTATCTGTAATTCAGTATTATAATCACTTTTCTTTCTGACCCAATATATAGATCAGGGCTATCAAACTTCCGGCTCGTGGGCTGGATGTATCACACCCACATCCGGTTTAGGGGAAGGGGAAAAAAAGTCCCGCTACGTCACATGATGCCGTCGTGACGATGCGAGCTTGACACCTGATATAGATGGTTTCACTAGTCACTTGGAAATTTTTCAATGGCTTAATGATTGAAAAATAATTTAAAATACTAAATATTGCCAACATAGTTTTAAATTTACCCCAATTATTACTAGAGATCTATAGATGCCAAACAAATAAGTGCAAAGTGCTATTATTTGTATGTATACTTTACTCAGAGAACCCTGTTATCCATTTTTACTGATGCATTTGAATTTTTATTTATCTTTTAAGACAATTTTTGCTGTAGTCAAGTTATTGGTGTAATGGTACGTGGGAATGACTTTGGGAGTTGGGAAGAGCCACAGCCAGAGAAATGGTTGGACAAGAGGCAGCTTAGTCTAAGGAAGCAAGGTGGGTATGGCAAACATCCCAGAAGGAACCCTTCCTAGTTTCCTGGACCAAAAAGGCAACAGAAGAGACGTATACTTTCAGAGCTTGTAAGACTGATGTCAGCCTTACAAGATGGTCCAGAAAGGAAGCACACTCAGATGAGCTAAATGTAAACCTCACAAGGATCAGTCTTGCAAAACACATTTCTCCCTTGTCATCTTTAAGGTCCAAGAAACTACAGAAGGTCCCTTCTGAGACAGCCACAGCCACATTGCTTCCATGGCCTAAGTTGCTGTTATCCAACTTTTCCCTGGCTATGGCTCTTCCCCGTCTCCCAAGATCCTTCCCGCATATTACAAATAGCTTGCAATAACTGATCTTTCCTATGTACCAAATAATTTAATTTAAATGTATTTGCTGTTACTTCTAGTTGTGGATTTTCGGAATTTGTACTGCGTTCTAACAGCCTGACTTCCTTCTATTTTATCCTCCCTATATCTAGACAACACTAATTCATAGCACTGAATCACATTATCTGACCAAGAGGGTAATGAGATTTTGAGCCTAACTTGTACTGCAAAGATAGGACACAGCAGTGAGTCACAAGAACTGCATAGTGTCTTTTATTTCTTCTCATTTTAGAACTTAATTTGGAAAAGCCAGATTAATAGATATATTATGCATTTTATGCTACATCCTGTTGTTTATAATACTCAAAATCAGTTTTTTTTAAAAAATATATCACTTGTACAAATTTTGTTTTATGGATTAAAATAAGAACTGTAGAACTGTTGAGATACAACCGATGGCAATAAATTTAAAAGTATATAACAGGACAGGAACTCCTATCCAACCACAGAGAGAGAGAGAGAGAAATTTTATTCTCTTCAAAATTTCTCAACCATAACAACTTTAATATGTAACACCAGCTCCCAGAATTGTAGGAGCTGGATTTCTAAATATGCCAATGTTATTAAGAGTCATAATAATCAGAACATTGCTGGGAGGATTGGTGATTGTGTGGGAAAGGAAATGCATGCATACAGTCCTTGTCAGAGTCATGCATCCAGTGTCTTCCTACCCTCGTAACACAGGGCTGTCAAACTCCTGGCCCGTGGACCAGATGCATCATGCGCTGGCTACACCCACACTTTGTTTAGCGAAGGGGAAAAAAGTCCCGATATGTCATGTGATGCTGTCGTGACAATGTGAGTTTGACACCCCTGCTCTAACAGATTAATGTAAGCTTTTACTGTTGTACTGAAAGTATACATCAGTATTTATTGTTAAAGGATAGGATTAGATCCAAGATCAAAGAGAGATAGAAAAGATGGGGAATCCTGAACAATGAAAGCAGGCAGCTGTGAACAAGGTCTCCTTTCTCAAGTTCCTTCCCTAGTCCACTCTATGTTTCTAGTGCAGAAGGTTATGAAATCCAATCCTTCAATAACACTTTCATGCCAGCTTATTTCCTATTTAAAAAAAGCAAGAACAGAAAGGAAAAGAAAGGAAAGATTTCTGTTCATTGCTGAATAACCTGCAGATTTCAGAAAGAATATGTGTGTTAGGGATATCAGGCAAAAAGGCTTACAAATAAAATCCGCAATTATTAAATATTCTAAAACAGGAAGGGAGAACATAACTTTTACAGGTTTCCAAGAACTTAAAATACCAGATTTCTTAAAAATAATGACCAAAATTGCTCAGGAAAATAATTTTCTCAATCAGTGCTTCAAATTGCTAGTGAGATGAGAAGAAACATTGCTTCTCTAATACTGTACAGTATTGTAACAACACTGTATTGCAACAAATCAAGTCTGAAAGAAAAGGACTTTGATTAGCAGAGAAAGTTAGAAAGTCATAGTTTTCAACTGGCTGCTTCACAACACCTCCACCATTACTACTGGTTGACTCATGATAGTTATTTGGGAGGGGGGAGGGAAACCAAAAGTACCAAATACCAGTAGTCCACTAGATGATGATTGAGCCACATATAACCGTATTGTGGAATGTTAATGGTGAAATGCTATAATAAACTACATGACTACCCTTTCCTACCCCACTTTTCTCCCACAGAACTGTTACGAAAGTAATGATACCAGAGTGGCATTGCTTCACACATGAAGTTTGCAGAATCAGTCACTACCACAGTGCAGCTGGAATGCATAGTTTCTGCACTTCTGAGTCTTGCAGACACTTGCAGGGCATTTGAGAATTTGGCCCTTGTAATAGCTTATGTCCATGTTGCAAAAATGCACATCACGAATCTTAAGGCATCAGACTTTCTGCACCGGAATTGCTTATAAGCATCCACTGGATACCATCAACAATCTCATTTTCCATGTCTTGTTAACATGCTGGAACCGTTCCATTGATTTATTGGTGTCTTCCTTAAAAAAATAATATCCAAGCACAAATGTATTGTAGAAATCTATTTGGAAAACAAACTGGGTAAATATTTAATTGAATAAAGATAAGTAAAAGCAAGTAAAAGACATGCTAATTCTGCACCGAAAATTGATTTCTCTGCTATGAATTGTTATGTAAGAAAAACTTTCCAGAAAAGACACTAACGCACATATGAAACCTGGGCTGCCACTTGCTTTGCTAAATCAGCTTTCTCTTGTCAAACTAGCTATTAATTTACAAATTATTATTGTTTTTATACAGAAGAGGTTTTTACTCCGTCAATTGTTTGCAAACCTTCCATCTTCTCTGGAGTTCTTTATCTGTTTTTTGGATTTAGCCTGCAACTTGATGAAATCTATCTACTGTTTTTGCAAAAAATCCACCATGGGATGTTTAGTATCAATACTGGAAATCCCTTTTTGGTAATTCAGACAAAATTTGGATTTAAAGCAGCATTTGTCCTTATTTCATACGCTTATATTAATTTCTTTTGAAGAATAGAATTAAAAACTGCTAAATTTGGAAGCAGCTCAAATTAATGCTTAATGTGGTAACATTGTGGAATGTGCTAAAAAGAAGCTAACATATGCAAAGTATGCAAAGTAAGATAGAAAATATTTTATTATTAAGTGTGACTCAAGGTCAGCCTACGGTGTGGCCCATGTTTGCTTTCCTCTTTACATAAAATATTGTGGAATCAAAGTCATATTGACTTTTCTGAGGATACATTTTCTTACCATTTCTCCTGCTCTGAAAGAAATGGATACTGAGATAAGATCAGCTCTCCAATGAAACTATAATATGTTTTTTTACACCTGAAAAAGAAGAAGAGCCTGGTTTAGAGGTTTTACACATCAGAAAGAGGAGGATGCAATTACTACTTAGTTGCGTTTTCTTTGTTGATATTCACTGTCTCCTGTGCCAGGTGTTTCATTTTAATAGTGACTGTATATTTTAAATAATGATTGTTTTTATGTATTTATTGTTTTAATTGTAGTATGCGGCTGAGAACCTTTTCATGAAATGGGCAGCCATATAAATTTGATAGATCCTCTCCAGATATTTGCTTTCAATAGGAATTGTGAAATCCTTCCCCAAGATGACTGCTGCCTGGTAGAAAAATGTCCTCACTTGCCGGTGATCTGCTGTTTTTGTTGCCAAAGCTGGTTCTTTAGCAGTGTTGGTACCTGGATTTGAATGGAGGCACTTAGGAATGACCCAAAATGACTTTTGAATGGCTGTGGACCCACTCAGGATGGGGGATCTTGAAGATTGGAATTCCCTGTGAGAGCAGCCAGAAAGTCATTGATATTTTATCTAACTTTTCCTATCAACACCATTTCCTATCAACAGACCATTGTCATAAGCAAGCCTGGGTTTTAACTTCACTTTGCTTTGTTTTTTTAATCCTTAAAAGTTAATTGGCTAGCTGAATGCTGATTTATTTCAACCCTCTGCTGAATTTTATCTCTTCTTTTTTCTTGTTTTCCTTTGGCTGTTTTCATTAACTTCAGCTTTTCCATAAGGAAACATGGCTTTTCTTTGGCTTAGTGAAAGTGCTTTAACTTGATTTACATTTTTATTGGACATTCACCACAGGGATTTTGTATTTTATCAATTTACAAAAAGTTTGGACTTTATTTTTCTTAATCCTTTTTCATTTTGGATCAAAATATCCAGAAAATATTCTGTTCTAACATCTACCATGTTAGGAATGTAAGTCACCTAACAGTTATTTGGGTTGGAAATATATAAACTAGGATAGACATTTTAATACTGTATCTTTAAGAGAATGCTAAAACTATAATTGGGTGTGGTTCCGCAAATGGCCATAAAATGGAGCCAGAAACCTGGGTTGTTTAGTCTCAGAAGTGTGTGAGTCTCTATTCCTTCTGTTGGAGAGAGTTGCCATTCCTCTTAATGACTGTTACTGATCGTTGATGTAAGTCTGTTACTGAACTGTTTTTGATACTGGACTTTGATATTTGCATTATCCCTGAACTGAAACCTGACTGCTTTACCTGTGAATGACTTGGACTGCTTATCTTGGACTTTGCTTAAACGTTTCTGGGAAGTAAAAACCTACATTTACTGTACAGTGTATCTGTGTGCTGTGTGTGTGTTATTCTTCATTATTTTCACTACGTCTCCCTGTATGCGCTCATTCTCCTAACGGGGAATTGCCTCAATACTGGTTATGGGCCCAGGCCATACCTGGCAGAGATAACTGAGAGTTAGTGTGAATGCACAGGACTGTATACAGACAGCTGTTTACTGTTTAATTGTGGTTTACTATCCTGGTAAAGATGGCACAAGACACTTCAACAAGTCTACCACTGATAACCCGGTTGGATGGAAAAAACTATGTTTCCTGGTCTATGAAGTGCAGTCTACTTCTGCGTAGAAAACGGTTATGGAATGTAGTTCAAGACCCACCAGATGTAAATGCTTGGGATCCAGAAAATGAGGACGATGCCAAGAAGTTAGTTGACTTTAAAATGAAACAACGAACGAGCTCTTTGTATAATTGGACTAACACTGAGTGACCAGCAGCTAGTCCATATTCGTGGAGAAGAGTCTGCTGCTAGGTGTTGGGAGAATTTGAAGAGGATTTATGTTCGTGACAGTGTAGGTGCACACATACATCTTATACGTAAACTGTTTAGAGCACATCTTCTGAAAGGAGGAGATATGTTAGCTCATTTGAACTTCATGAAAAGAACCTTTCAAGAGCTACATGAAAAAGAACTGATATTTTCAGAGCTGCATCAAGTTTACATCATTGGATTAAATTGGATTTCATTGGATGAAAGTTATGATGATTACATATCTTCACCAGAAGTCCTGCCCAGAGATAAACTGACATTGACTGACATAACCGGAAGGTTGTTAGAAGAAGCAAGAAGACGGCTGGATAGGGACCAAATGAGGAAGGAACAACCACAAGAAGATTTGTGTTCAACTGCCTATACTGTTAGGAAATGTTTTTCTTGTGGGGCTTGGGGACATATTGCTAGATTCTGTAAGAAGGGAAAATGACAGAATACTGGTAATCACCAGAAGGCCAAGAAGAATGTTAGTTTAGCTATGTCTAGCAATTCAACTGTAAACCATGATTTATGGGTTGTTGATAGTGGAGCATCGCAGTGCATTACTAGAAATAGAGAGAGGTTTGTAAATATGTCTACGAGTAAGCAACATGTATCATTGGCAAATGGATGAAAGATGAAGGCTACTGGTGAAGGTACTGTATATTGTTCTTGTATAAACGAACATTTAACTATGTTATATGTACCTAAACTGAAATTTAATTTGCTATCAATAAGGGCTTTAGTTAATCTTGGTTATGTAGTAACCTTTAGGGGAGATAACTGTATAATAGAGAAAGAGGGTAAAAGTGTTACTGCTACTTTAGAGAATGATTTATATTTGATACATGATGACAAGTTGCAGATGGCTAACCCAGTTTATAACAATGTTAAGCCACATGATGAATGTATACATTTACTGCATAGACGTCTAGGGCACATTAATTTCAAAATGTTGAAACAAACTGTTGAATTGTCAGAGGGAGTAAAATTGAAACCCTGTAGCAAGTATTTAAACTGTAATGCTTATAGCCAAGAGAAAAGCAAGGTTATTCCAACAAACAGACTGAATGGTTTTAAGACCAAAGAACCTTTAGAGGTTGTGTTTGCTGACATAATTGGTCCTAAGAAACCTAGTTTGGGAGGTGCCTGCTATATTTATATATAATGGACCATTACTCAAGGTATGGTTTCTGCTATTTCATGAAAAACAAAACAGAAACATTCCAACATTTCTTTAACTGGCTAAGATTTGCTGAGAGAAAAATGAGGAGTAATTACTTTAGTTACTGATAACGAGACTGAATTTATTAACAAGAGATTCCAAACTATGTTGAAATTGGCTGGTGTCAAGCATAAACATTCTGCACCTTACAGACCACAACATAACTTGTTTGTAGAACGAAGAGGGCAAACATTACAAGCCATGGCTCACACTATGTTATCTGATTCAGGTTTGCCTGAAACACTGTGGGGTGAAGCCATAATGTGTAGCAACCATGTTTTAAACAATGTAGTTAACACAACAACTGGAGAATTGCCATTCACTCGTTAGCATGGCAGAAAACCAAATTTAAGTTATTTACACACATTTGGAGCTCCAGCATGGGTGCATATTCCCTCACAAGTAAGACTGAAAGGGCAACATAGAGCTAAGAAGTTATTTTTTGTAGGTTACGAGGATCACCATAGATCGTTTAGATTTTGGGATCAAGGCACAGCTCATATTTATTGTAGCACTAGTGCTAAATTTCATGAGCACGTTGGGTGGAATAAACTGGAACAGGAATCCAGCAATGATGTTATTATTGACACCAAAGTAGCCCCTAAAGATGAAATAAGTAAACCACAAATAGCCATTAAAGAGGAAGCACAGGAGGAGGTAGGAGAACAGGCACAGGAAGAAATAGAAGAACAGGAGCAGGTGGAACAGATGAGTCCACCAGTAAGCCCTTATTACCAAGACGTTCAAACCGAGTAACACGACCACCTGATAGATATCAGGCTAGTGTTGTATGCCAAGTAAATACAGTTCCTAGTAACTATAGTGAACTGAAACTGTATCCTGCTAAGGATCAGGCTACTTGGCAGGAAGCAATGGATAAGGAATTGGAATCATTAAAAAAGTTGGAGGTATACAAAAATGTTAATTTACCACCAGGTAAACATACCATAGGATGTAAATGAGTTTATAAGCTAAAGACAGGTGTAGATGGGACTGTTACCCATAAAGCCAGGTTAGTAGCACAAGGGTTCAATCAGACAGCAAATGACTATGATGAGGTGTTTGCACCTAGTCTGAAGGCTACTACATTACGAGCAGCATTAGTGTGGGCAGCTAAGGAGAAATACATTATAAATCATTTGGATGTAGAGGCGGCATATCTGCATGCACCGTTGCAACACACTATATATTTAAAGAAACCTTTAGGTCTCGAAAATAATACAACTGATTGCTGGAAATTGAAAAAGAGTCTTTATGGCTTGAAGCAATCAGGATTTGAGTGGAACCAGTGTATAGTTAAGGAATTAACTAAGATAGGTTTTGTAGCTGGCATGGCTGATCCATGTTTATTTAAAAGAGAAAGTAATGGTGTAATTTCATTGTTGCTATTGTTTACTGATGACATAGCATTAATCACCAAAACTGAACAAGAAGCTACTAAAATAATCTCACTGTTAGAGAAGAAATTTAAGATAAAACAATTAGGAGAAATCAAACAATATCTTGGTTTAAAGATAGATAGAACTAGGGGAGAATATAAGATCTCACAGGCAGATAAAATTAACCAATTACTAAAAAGTTTTAAAATGGAACTTTGTAAACCGGCTAAAACACCAATGAGCCAGGAGTTTAGCCATAGTGATGTTCAAAGTCCTATTTTTGATAAGAACATTTATCAGTCCTTGATTGGTAGTTTATCTTATCTCAGTAATTGGTCAAGGCCAGATATAGCACAGTGTTAACCAATTAGCGAGATTTAACACTGAGCAGACTGAAAGGCACTGGCAAGCTGCTAAACGTGTGTTAAGATATCTGAAACAAACAATGCATTATGCATTGTATTTGGAGCCTAAAGATGAACTGAGTTTACCTGCATATGCTGATGCAAGTTTTGCTACAGACATAAATACACGTAAATGTACATCGGGTACTATAGTGTTATTGGGAAAGGTGTTGATTGGATGGAGGTCTATTCGACAGAAACATTTAAGTTTGTCAACAATGGAGGCTGAATTCTCATGCTTATCTTTACTATGTACAGATTTAGTTTGTTATAAGCAACTACTAATTGACATGGGAATTGATGTAACAGATTTTATTGTTGTTTATGAAGATAACCAATCAGCAATACAGATGGCTTCAAATATTGCTGTTAAGACAAGAACAAAACACACAGATTTAAGATATTTAAATGTGAGACAATGTGTGCAAAGTAAAATGATTAAGCTAGAATACTCTATGTCAGAAAACAATATAGCAGATCATTTTACAAAGGCCCAAGGTTCCATAAAGCATAAGGCGTGCTGTGAAGATTATGGACTTAGAATGTAAGGTTGTATATAGTGTCCTACCCAAAGGGGAGAATGTTAGGAATATAAGTCACCTAACAGTTATTTGGGTTGGAAATATATAAACTAGGGTAGACATTTTAATACTGTATCTTTAAGAGAATGCTAAAACTGTAATTGGGTGTGGTTCCGCAAATGGTCATAAAATGGAGCCAGAAACCTGGGTTGTTTAGTCTCAGAAGTGTGTGAGTCTCTATTCCTTCTGTTGGAGAGAGTTGCCACTCCTCTTAATGACTGTTACTGATCGTTGATGTAAGTCTGTTACTGAACTGTTTTTGATACTGGACTTTGATATTTGGATTATCCCTGAACTGAAACCTGACTGCTTTACCTGTGAATGACTTGGACTGCTTATCTTGGACTTTGCTTAAACGTTTCTGGGAAGTAAAAACCTACATTTACTGTACAGTGTATCTGTGTGCTGTGTGTGTGTTATTCTTCACTATTCTCACTACGTCTCCCTGTATGTGCTCATTCTCATAATGGGGAATTACCTCAATATACCACACTGAACAACAATGTATTACAGACAAGAAAAGGAAGGTAACACTCAAGAAAAGACAGCCTGGCAACATACAATTCTTAGCTGAAAGTTTTTTTTAAAAGGTTTGATGAACTCATAATGACTGTGGAAAACATTCAGAGGCAAGTGAATGTAAATAAATTAAACTCACAAAAGGAATGTGATTTCAAAGCAGAAGATTTGCTGGGAAGAAATATGAACTCAGATTTAGAAATAACAGAGTTGACTCCATATGCCACCCTGAAGTTCAAGTCTGCACTTTTATATAACAGTAGAAAATGGTCTGGGTAGATAAGTTGTAAATTGGTCTTTTTTTTAAGTATAATGAAAGAGGTTGGGGAATGTATTTATCACATTTAACTAGGGAACAATTTCAACTGAACTTTTTTGGGAGGATAGACTGGCTTTGGAGATTGGATGTATTGTATTGACAATAATTGATAAGAGATGGTATATTAAGAAACAAACCTAGATATTTGATCCAGGATCAATCAGGGTTAATTTTTGGAACAATTTTGAATCGTTAAGAAGCAGTGGTAAATTTCCTACGAGTTGATTACCATAGCAGTTTGTTAACAGAGGTTTTTGGAATTTTAATCTGATCTTTTTACTATTACTGTTCTTCCTATTAAATATTTTATTATTAATACTGCATACAGATGATAGGTTAACAACTTGTACATAGAATTAGTAATTTAAAATTATTTGGGCCTATTTCGGAAAGGGTGGGAAACTAATATTGTTGTATTAATCAGCATTCAACTAGGGAGGACAATATGTCTACAAGTGTTAGACTTTTTTTTACTGCACCTTTCTCTTTTTTAAAGTCTTCTTTGTTCTCTTTTTTTTCTTTTTAATATTTTGGGGTGTTTTGCATTTTAACTTTTTTTGAATAAAATAAAAATAGATTTAGAAAAAAAAAACAAATTGTAAAATCCTGCCCTATAACAGACTGCCATAATTATGCATACCTGATTTAACAGTTTCATCTTCTGAACTGACCTCTACCCACTGGTTATCACCTGCGAGCAATCGATTTTGAGATTCACTGAGTGGCCTAGTAGGAAATGGCTGACTAGTAGAAGAGCTGAAAAATAAAATTTCTGTTAGAGAGAATGGATTCCCACAAAAGTTCACTCTTGCAATTCTTCATGAAATATGTTTAGAACTACACTGTTACCTCTAATTATGTACTCGTATAGTCCAACAGATCTGAGCTTCAGGCCTTGAATGATTTTAGATTTTTCTTTTTTAAAAAAATCACTGCTGTCATCTAATGGCTCTTCAGATTTTCAAAGGTCAGATTTGGAGCCCTAACTACTGTCTAACATTCATGTTTAACCTAAAGAAAAACAACTCTAAATTTATAAGAAAGCCTCACAAGCAAAAAATTTTTTTAAAATGATCATAAATATAATACTCAAGACACCTTGAACACTGCTGCTTTATTTTGCCAAGGAGGATTACTAACTTCTGTTAAAAGCAATCGTGGAAATTGTTCCTCCAACAAATAGCTACAGTTGTTCAGAGGCTACCTGTCAGGGATTTTTTAATTTGGGTATTGATTCAAGCCATTAAATCAGTGGTAGTCAACCTGGTCCCTACTGCCCACTAGTGGGCATTCCAGCTTTCATGGTGGGCTGTAGGGGTTTTGTCCTCTACTTTATAAATCACCATTACTGTGGAACCGGTGGGTGGTTAGAGAAAATTTTACTACTAACAGAGATACAAAAGTGGGCAGTAGGTATAAAAAGGTTGACTACCCCTGGCTTAAATGTTACTTTCAAACTTTGAAAGAGGCAGCTAGAAACCTTTTGTTTCTAATTTCTCCACTTGCACATCAAAAACAGGTGGCAAGAAACCAATCTAGGGCTCAGAAAACTTCACACAACAACAATGAAATATAAGGTCAAGGAAAAGTAGTCCAAAGGTTTTTCTGCACATTTTTCAGTTAAAACAATTTAACTGAGTAAGAGTTTCCAAAACACATCCCCTATTTATTTATTTGAACTGCCAGAATCAGCAAGAAATTAATGTACGATTATAATAAAGATAAAAATAAGGCTAAAAAACTAAAAAGGAATGTGAACAACGGAACAAAATTGATGTAACCCATATAGTGTCAGCCTAGTGTGTTAAGTCCAGAAACGTGACCATAGACTACTTCTACTTTATTGTAAGATTACAATAATAGGACCTTGCAAGTTTGAAAGTACAACCCCTCTTGCATTTACAACCTAAGAAACAAGGGTGTGTCCCTTACCACACCCACATTCCTTTTGTGGCCTTAGCTGCCTCTTGTCTGACCATTCTTCTGGCTGTGGCTCTTCACCCTGCCTCCCAAAGCCATTAAACATAGGTTTTTTGGCCTACTTCTGTTTTTAATATCTGGCAGATAGCCAGCAATTGGAAGTGGGGATGGGTGGGCCACTTCTGATCCTTTGAAGGCTGTTCTGTAGCACTGGCCCAGCCAATGATAAACAGCATCCACACATTTCAGCCCTCTTGCATTCTGGGAAAGTGGAGGATCAACAGCAGTTTTTCTCTTTACTGCTGAAATGGTGCCATTAAATTGAGGTAAAGGGTAATCCTAGTTCCCCATGGTATAGAGAAGATTGGTTCCTGTTGGAGGAGATAGCTATTTTTAAGCTCTCCTTGTTTTGGAGGACAGATATAACTACATAACCTCCTCCTTCCATCACAAAAGTCAAGATAAATCACATATTTTTTTTTGCTCATGTTTACTTTTTAAAAATCTACTTTTCCTTTCTTTTGCTTCTTAGATACCTTTTTGGGAAACTTTTGCTTAGCGGAAAAAAAAACAGTGATAGATTTTTCTGCAGACCTATGGGCAAGAGGGGTTAAGCTACCAACTCATAACATTGAATACCTTCAGTTCTCTTCCACAATTCCCCGAGGAGGTGTGATAAGTGCTACAATTCTTGAATTGCTGGCCTCTCAATGGAATGATACTTTTCAAGCTTCTATAGCAACTTCCTCAGGTAATATTCCATCTTAAAGCTCTAGCTACTTTTCATTACCCAGTCATGAACACCCAGTCAGGCTACAACTTTGAAGATCTTCACTTACAACCAAACTTCCCCAGTTTTTACTATTCACACATATGTTGATGGGACAATCCTCTTATAGATGTGTTATGTGGAAAAAAGGAAGTTTTCATTATCAGTTTCCACTGCCCAAGTCCTGGCCTTCTTAGATGAAGACCTTGACAGGGATGAAAATCAAGTATAGTCCACAGATAAGGGCCAGCCTTAGCATCAGGCAGCAATGATCCTCTCTCAATGTATTCACATGACCAAAGATTTATAAAACAAACCTATTACAACCAGCAATCTAAAGCCTTGTTATTCCTGATTTGGAAAATGGTGTTCTCAGTACTAGTAACATCTGACAAATATCAAATAGATGTGTATTGGAAAGAAGGAATAACGTTGAGAAGCAGGAGGAGGAACAACTGCCACAAGGGCAATGGTCAAATAAAACATATCTGAGTCTGGAGCAGAAATGTAGCTTGAGAAAGCAACCTAGACAAGACCCTCCCTAGTTCTCACTAAGATAAAAGAAAGGGGGAGAGAGTATAGTCAGACTTGCATGATTCTGTTATGATAATTTTACAATAAAAGTAGTAATAACATTTATTACTTTGGTTTCCTAGTCTAGTCTACCTTAAAAGGCCTGATAACCACACATTGTTTGCCAAAAAATAATTCCGCACAATCCTGTCAGACAGCATCAGTCTCTACCTAGACTTGAACTTCATGACTCAGATGAATTCAGTTTTGCATTGGTGCCAGGCAGCAATCTTTTCCTTTTCTCCCCCCTGCTCTATCTCAGACTCTAAATGAAAGAAGGAACGGTCCAAACTGGATGTTAGAAAACAGCTCAAAAGGAAGAACAGATTTCAATATCTTAGTTTCCCTAGACAGCCCAACTGGCCTGCAAAGCTTCCTTTAGCACCTATCTTCAGGCAGAATAAGCTTGAAGTCTACTTCCTACAGTGGAAGCTGAGCACTTTCAGACATTGTCAGAAAAAAGGCAGAGGCATTTATAGGGTGGGACATCAATATCTGCAATATAGATGTATAGAACCTATCTATTTCTATCCTGTATTCTTACCAACTCTGGTTTTGTTTCTCTGATCAATCTTACTGGTGTGTCCTTTAGAAACTGGAAGAGAGTGGTTTCCTTCCATAGAAACCCATACCATAATCCTTATTAGCTCTGTGTCTGAAGAGAGTGGGATTCCCACATCGGAATTTCTTTCTCTGCTCTAGAATAAGAAACTTCACAATCAGTCCAACATACTGTTTCAGACAAAGAGATGATGCCAGGCAAGCAAATTGAGAGTTCCACGCCAGACTTCTTTACATGTGTTACACTGTGCATTAATTCTATCATACACTCTCATTGCAATTAGGTTTAAAACTATTTGGGAACTGAATTCTTGTCTCTAATTATCTGGTGATGAGATGAAAGTGGTCCCCTGTGCATGGGAACGTGCAATAGCAGACTTCTGTGGAACTGTGAACAAAGCATTGCCTGCACCTTTTAACAGTTTCATTTTGGCTTGAGACAGCGAGCTGCTCGGGATCCATAATCACCAGCCGTGTTGGAAAGTTGCAACCATCTCCTAAGCTGCACAGTATAATAAACAAGACAGAACAAGTATTTCATTAGCTTGCTGAATACACACAACAGAAACACATCTATACAACGTAGGTTTTTAAACATCACATTAAGTGGAAGAGTGGTACATAGGCCATGAACATAATATATTCAGCACCAAGTATTGTACCTGGGGCAAGAAAGAGCTTACTGTAGTTTCATGTAGCTTTCAGAGAACATTGACAATTATTTGACATTAATAATTTTATCTGCAAATGTCAAAATGTGTCATCTTAAAAAATTAAATGTTCACATGCTTTTCAGATCAGGAATATCTGAACGGTACATTCTTGCAATTTTTATCAGTACATTCCTGGTACAGTCTACGTCAGTGGTGGCTAACCTTTTTGGGCTCCCGTGCCGAAAACTGTGAGTGCACTGGCGCACATGCTCTCACGTGCCAGCACCCAGAAGGCAATGCGTCCCACCCCCCCTTATGCATGTGCGCGCAACACCCCCGTGCCTCTTTACTTGAATTGCGCATGCCCCAGCCAAACTTACCTGCACTGCGCATGTGTGTGCCTCCCAGCTGATTTTCGGCCCGTTTGAGGCAGTTTTCGCCCTCCCGGAGGCTCGAGTGAAGCCTCTGCAACTTTTGGAGGCTGAAATACTGGAAGTGCCAAAACGGGCCCTTTTTTCAGCTTCCAAAGGCTGCAGAGGCTTTTCTCGATCCCCCGGAAGGGTGAAAATGGCCACCAGAGGCCCTCTGGAGGCTGAAAACGGGCACTTCCAGTATTTCTGGAAGGCTCATTTTTCGGCCTCCTGAGGCCTCAGAGGCTTTCCTCGAGCCTCAGGGAAGCCAAAAAAGGCCTCAAATGGGCTGAAAATCAGCTGGGAGGCACATGCATGCGTAGGTAAGTTTGGCTGGGGCTCACGTGCCCTCACAAATGGCTCCGCGTGCCACATAGGTTCGTCATCACAGGTCTATGTAATTCCAGAATATACTGTAAGTTTTTCATTGCTTAACTTTCTGGACCAAACAATTCTGAACCTTACAATTTTTTAATAAAGGCTTTTAGATATTGCTAAATAAATTACTCATGGAGGAAATATGGTCACCAGGAGTTGAAAATTATTTGATGACGCAACTTGATGATGCATTGTCAATCAAAAGCAATTGTAACTGGCTAATTGGACTGCTGACTTCATCAAGTACCATAGGATTATTTGAATTCACTGGTCTACGTGCATTAACAGCAACTAAAGTGCTTACGTTAGTGTCAGTGCTTTGTAGGATTAAAAGATGAGACTAATTCAGCAAAAAAATGTATTTGAAGTTTAATTAACTGCTCAGAATATTTAAGAAGTGGATGTTGACTTCAGTATGCACTAAGTATAATACAGGCAGTCCTCAGGTTATGACTGCAATTGGGACCAGAATTTGTCATAAGGTCACATGGTCACATTGCCTATCAACAATAATCTATGTGGGTTGTTAAGAGGAAAGAAATGAGAGTTCCAGGTAAGCAGGCTTGTCACTATATGGATGCTATATATAGAGAGAGTGCTGTACGTGGGCACTCTGAAGTGCAGGCAGGTGTGAAAAAGTTACTCCAGAATGTGGGTGTGCAGCTGCAGAGGGGGTGGCCCCCCCTGAAGGCAGGTGCTGAGTGCAGGAGGGTAGATGGGTCCTGTGGGCCAACACTATGGTGTATGTCAGGAGCAGGAGCAACTTCCTGCCTATTTCTCCAGTGACTTTGTTTGTGGGAAGCTGGCAGGAAATGTAGGAAACGTGCGATCACCTGACAGTGTAATCAGAAGCCAGGCATTGGATGTCTGGATCGCAATCATGTGATCACAGGGATGCTACAGTAGCTGCATCTTTGTAGAATGGTAGTACTTTGCTCTTCATTCAGTGCTGTCATCATTTTGAATGGTCACTGAACAAGTGGACGTAATTCAAGGATTACGTGTATGGCTAAGAGTAATCATAAGGCACTATTTTGGTTTACATCAGTGTGTTAATTTAGAGTGCTATATCCATTTTTAATTATGATCACAGACCAGAATATATAGTGATATAAAATGAATATCATTTAAAGATTTATATACTTTTGAACTCTATACCCCAAATTTAGAATTTATAACTAAAATATATAAATGATAGTACCTCGTAAAAATAGGGAGCAGCCAGTATTTCTTTTCATCTCCAAAAACCTCTTTTAGGTTTTTTTGACATCCAAGAGAGAAGCCATTTTTGTCAGGCCCATTTCGAAACATTGGTGCCCGGAAAGCTTCTATATCACACATAAAGAAAGGAAAACAAATTAGTCAATTTAGAAAAGTGAGAAAGTCTTCCATGACGGAATATTAATAATAACAGAATAAAGCATCTCTTAGATTGAGTCATCTCTCATGAAAATATTGTCACCTGCAAGGCTATAAAATATGTTACAGCTCTTAAACTACATTTGAGAAAAAACTGTTTCAGATACAAATCTACAACATCAATTTTATTTCATTTGATCAGACCATTATAAAAACCAAAAAAAGAAAAGAGAGAGAAAATTAATACTTTAGAATGCTATCATTTGTCTAGCTAGCTAAACAGGATTGTACAATATTTACTTTGGTCAGCAATTAAAAAACACAATTTTCCTTCCAAGCCCTTTGTAATTATTAATATTACTTTCTTCATACAGAATAAGCTACTTTGCTGTAATTTCCATTTTGTATAATCTAGAAGCGTGCATGGTTAAGATCAGAATATATAGAAATACTTAATTTATTCCCCTTTAAACAGGCAATGGGTGTGTAGACTATAGTGAAGTGATTATGGTCTGGCATCAATAGGGAGATGTTTTCTTTCCAATTCCCCAAAAAGTTTCGGTAGCTAGAAATAACTCTTATCATCATGATTCCAATTTCCTTTATTCATTTTCTTAGTTATGTTAAATTTAGTTTGATAAGAAAAGAAACCTGACCTTTGCTGACACAAGATTGTAAGTCTAAAGACACTTTAGAAGTGTCTTTATACAAGGACGCAAGGAGAGAAGCATCTTAGAACTAAGGAGAAATTTTCTGACACAACAATTAATCAGTGGAACAACTTGCCTGCAGAAGTTTTAAATGTCCCAATACTGGAAGTTTTTAAGAGATTGGACAACCATTTGTTTGAAATGGTATAGGGTTTCCTGCCTAAGCAGGGGGTTGGACTAGAAGACCCCCAAGGTCCCTTCCATCTATTCCATTCCATTCCATTCCATTCCATTCCATTCCATTGGGTCAGATAAACTTTGAACACAGATATAGCTCACAGTTATTATGAGAATGAGTTGGAGAACTTGGAGCTGCTTGGTCAATGGATGGGGTAGACATTAAAGAACAACAGAAATAATAATAATAAGAAGAATCCCTGTAATTTACTAACCAATTGTTGATCTGTTTTTACCAACCAGCCAGCAGTGGTAACTAAACAATGACAGTATGCTGATGAAGAACATGGCAGCCACAAAGAAAAGGAAAAGAACATGGAATTTTGCACGGGTGTCTGGTAATTCGTTCTGAAAAGAAAAAGAAAAGAAAACTGTATTAATGCATTTTCATCCATTTTCTGTTCAAATGCTATTTTCTTATAACTATTTTATTCTGAATTAAAATAAATAACATGAATTCATGTACAGTAATTAACATTTACATGTGAATTTGACAGCATACTGTGTATTTTCTTGTGGTTATAACTTTCACAATAGACAAAAGTCACTGAACTGGAAAGATTAACAACTGACTGCCAGCCAGTCGTCAGGAGGAAAACAAATATTGTTCACATTCATCTTGTTAAATTTGACATTAAGGAAGGATAGAAGAGTTGACAAATTTGCAAGACGGACTAATTCATGATTAGCAAGGGAATAATTATTGTGCTGGATGAAGTAAGAAAGATTTAAGCAATGTTTTTGTTAAGGAAGAAAAGAATGATAAAACAATATACCTGTAAATGATGCATTTAAGAAATTTAATGAAATGTCTTGAAAATACAAGATTTTAAGGCAGGAATCCTTCGACTCCTCAGAAGACTTTTCAGGATTTCCTCTACTAAGGGAAAAAGTAACTATCTACAGAAGAGAAGGCTGATTTTTTCAGATTGTATTTGCAACCAATAAGTATGGAAAACCTTTGCAGTTGATATTTAGCAGGGGCAGAGATCTGCAAAAAGAGGCAATCTAATACAACACTTGGATCTGCAGAGCCCAGGGTATTTCCAATCCCCAACACACTCCAAACCATGTATATTTCAGCTGATGTTGATTAATGCTTTCTCTTGAAATCAATTTAAAGATTAATTTGGTGTTAAACAAATGGCCGTGTATTAGGTGCAGACAAGCAACACTGCAGCATTTTTCTCCCTTCTCCCAGTATAATCTTGAGAGAGAATCAGAGAAGGATTGATCCATAAACTAATTAAATTAACTCAAAGAAGGAAGTGCTCCACTTTGTTTTTCTTTTAACTGGAACATGTGTGTGTGTGATAAAAAAATTTATTTCCCGTCTTATTACTTTTTTTAAATGTTAATGTTATGTTCTTGGGTGATATGGATAGCCACTTTAAAGGATACACAAATGTTTAAAATCCAAAAATGTATATTTTTGACTACTGTTGTGGGAAGTAAGCCAACTTTTTCTACTTTCAGCCTACACAAGGATAACAGTTCCTAAAAGGAGCCCAATAATCCACTGTCTAAGAAGGGGAACCAAAAGGCTACCATTTTTGGGGGGTGCTGCCCTTCTTCCCCAAATAAAGTGACTTCAGAAAGCATTAGTCTAGTTTTTTTCAGTGAAGACTCTTTTGACAGTAAACAAAGAGCTCAAGGAATATTGATGGTTCAGGAAGGGCATAATCTAGGCTGCAAGAATAAGACCAAATTTCTGGCTGGTTTTCCTGTAGGCACTTTAAAGTTCAAGGGAGGAAGACCTTCCTTTATTCTCTTTATAATGATTATTTTTCTGCAAATGGGATGAGAATCAAACTGCAGATGTATGAGGAAAACACCTTGAGATCCTGAGATGGTATGGACTCTGGATCACATCCTCTGAAGACATTGCTGTGGCCTAACCAGAATCATCTCACTTATTTGCTTGTTGCAAACATTTGAGGATTTAAATTAGGCCTGTCAAACTGACGGCCCGCGGGCAAGATATGTCACACGCAGGCCACGCCTACACCAGCTCCGCAAAGGCAAAAAACATCACGATATGTCATGATACATCATGTGATACGATCAAGTTTAATACAGTGGTTTAAACTATTTAAACAAGATTATACCTCATACATTTCAAAACAGCTTTGTATCGTAACAGAGTACACTGCTCACAGGAGAAAGGAAAACAGATTTTTTTATATATTTTAAAAATATTTTCCATACACTGAAGATTCATATATTAAGAAAAAAGTTTAATGTTTTATTAATGTAGCACAATTTTTATATGCTCAAATTGCTAAATACCTTATTAAACACTTAATAGCTTCATATTAAGAATTTAACAGAATATTCCTTTTAAACAATGACAATATAATGGGGAACTGAAATTGCTTTTTTATTAATAAAATATAGACATTAACATCAATTTAATTTTCTGTCAGTATATGCTATGCTTCGGAGCACCAATTTGTCTCTCAGGCATTAAATAAAATGCATATTGCTAATTATAAAGAACTAAAAATATTGTATAATAATCTTGTAACCCACTATCAGAAATAAATGTACAAAATAACATACTAGCAGAGACTACTGCTTAAATTGCATTTTACCTTTGGACAATTCTCAGCAGATTTCCTGCGGCAAAGCTTTGTACAAATAAAGACAATTTATTAAAAGTCTATTACCCCTTATGACTAGTGTTCAGAAACAAGTAAAAATGCTGTTAGAAAATTGATGGTCTTTGCGTGCACAAGGTGTAAAGCGTGCAGTATTCAATGTCAAGAGGTCAATAGTTTACATTCACTGAATGAATATGTGAAGATGAACTTGTGTTTGCATAATGAGATAAAGGAGGCACTGATTTTAATGGTGTACATTCAAGGCACACCATTAAAATTACGAGATCTATTCATTGCTCTCTCTAATTTTCATTATCGGAAGCCCAACTTGGAACCATCTCTACAATAGAAATCAACTAAGAAACTTACTGGTAATTTCTGTCTATATTCATCATAATTTGAACTAAAATTTGTTACCCAATTATGAATCAAAGCATTTTGACAGTATGATTTATTATTTGATTTCTCTGACTCCTTAATCCAAATGGTCCCTGCACTTCTTCATCTCCTGGAAGAATATTTAGGAAAACACAGATAAAAATGCTCTATCCAGCTTCTCTACCTTGCAATCTTAGTTGTTAACTCCAGTTGAAAACAGTTCTGCAAATTCTTTCCTGCTTTTTTGATATACATGTACAATAAAATACATGTACAGAGGCAACCTTTTTAAATGTGCGCATATTAGCTGGAAGCAATATTCCAGCAAAAAGACATGTCAAAAAATTAATAACGTGAATGCATGAACATGCAGAAGACTAACACAGTGCATCCATAAACATCAACTAGCAATCAGAAGACATGATCAAAACATCTTATTCTCACAACATGGATAGACTCAACCATGGTTTCAGTTGGAAAAATGTGAGCATCCCAGACCATAATGCTATGGAATGCCTCAAAGCTTGACATTCAGACAAATTAGCCATAAATAGATACATCAAGATAAATCACATTTACACATCATTGAAAAATGTCCATATAACATTAAGGAAACAACAAAAACAAAAACAAGAGTACATCCTCTCCAGAGCCAATACCTGGAATAAGCAAAGATTAACACGAGGCAAAAAAAAAATCAAGAACAATATCCTAATCAAAGAGAAAACCATACCCCAACCAACACTGTAGAGTAAGCTACTATATATAAACAGAGAGCAAACACAACTCCCTGATAGCATTAATGATGCTACTTATTTGAGTAATTAAATATCTGCAAGCAAACCACCAAACTCAGAAATCTTCACAATAACATGAATTAATAATTGAGTAAGTTATATTAAAATGCTGAAATGTGCCATTTGACTAAGAGAACAAAGTAGGTTTTTTTTTGGAAGAACAACGAATCATGGGAACAAGTCTCAGACACACACACACAGACAAAACCTCCTAGGGCTTATCCAAAAACTCACTTTAGAAAATGAACTGAATCGCTTTAAAATAAAGATGGCGGGTCTCTAAATATGGTAAATAAATAAAATGGATTTAATATACAGTTGAATGCAAGCTAACATACATTCTCTCTCTCATTCCCCATCTCAATCTGTTCTCCTTCTAAATAAACAGAAACAGGGATTATAATGATATAATTACATTGGGAGGGAACAAAAAGGCAAAAAAGCAGCAAAACTGGATGAAAATGAGGCAAAGAGAAGAACTCTTGTTTAGATGTCACAAAAGGGTTAAAATTCACTAGGCAGACAACAATAATGACTCAGGATAATCTTCAAAGGCATTGGTGCTTTCCCATAATCTCTGCAGTCATTTTCACTTCTTGGTTATTCCTTTATCTTCAACTATTTTCATATATTTTTCAATGAATAGACAAATACTTCTCCAGGGACATCAGCTGATTAATAAATTGGAAACTTTTGAGCTTAATTGATGAAATTCTGCATACTTGTTCCAATGAGGCTAAGCCTGTGCATGGTGCTCCAGATAGCTCAAGTGCTGTCTTCTACAGCTTTCCTTTGATGGTTAAGTGTGCAATGGGGGGACAGGTACTACTTCAAAAAGTTGTTCCCTAAATCAGATAACACCCGTTCTCCTATTCACTGGTAATTAATCTTTTTTTAAAAGCCTCCTCCTCTCAAGGTAATAAGTAATACTTATATTTGATAGTTAATGTGAAATGTTAAGGAAATACGATATCGATTTTGCTCAAAATTAATGTTACATAAAAAACAACCTTTCTAGCTTGTGGCTCTAGAAAAGCAACAGATCTTGTGTATCTATGGCTCTATTCCAGATTCTTTTTCATGATAAACTCTGTCCTGCTCAAATCATTGGGCCAGTTCCAGTTGCCTTGGACTAATGGAAGCAGGCAATCCAAATACATCAGGATATCTATAGATTTTTTTTTCATCCTATTTTCTACAACAGTTAAGATTCATATTGTTTAGCCAAAGTTTTGGCAACACTAAGTAAGCTGAAATGTTCCTATCTGGCAAACAGAGGGAATTAGGAAACTCTTAGAATAAGTACAAATCATGGAAGGAAGTTACACATACCCACACCCACACCCCCAAAGGATTGTGCCAAATTCACACATACACACACAACCAGCAAGGGATTATGCAAAACACCCTTCAGAATAACAAGTACCAAAGCTGACTAAAATATTGACATGGCTTACCTATAAATAAATTACATAAACAAATAAATAATGCTAAACTATGGTTTACTATCATGATAAACAATAATAAGTCGTTATGGATCACAGTGGCTGGTTGCATAAAACCCAGCAGGGAGGGAGGGAGGGAGGGAGGGAGGGAGAGAGAGAGAGAGAGAGAGAGAGAGAGAGAGAGAGAGAGAGAGAGAGAGAGAGAGAGAGAGAGATCCTTGTTCCCAAGATATTTAGGAATAACAAAATAAGTGCAGTGTCAGAGACAGAATGCTAGAGTTGAAAACGTAGCCTCCAGGATGACAATAGGATTCTTAATGAAATTTAAAATGTTTGATTTGTCAGCTATGTCTCAGTACCAAGTCTTCATTACTTCATGTGCATGTACCATGACATGCCAAGTAGAGAAAAGGAACTGCATGAATTGTACCAGTTAAGTCTACAATGTCTGTATTTGTCTGAATCATGAAGAGATATCACAGATGTGTGCAGGTTAACAATAAATAGCTCCTCATGATTAGGTTTACCTTGAATAAATATATATGCATTTTTAATGCAAAAATGTATGTGCAAGTTATTTTTACAATAAAAATGTTTCATTTTGTGCTTACTTATTGTATAAATTATTCACATTCAAGTAACATCCTTCACAGTCTATGAATGTTAGCCAATTCTTTTCCAAAACCACAATGCTGCTATTCCAAAGGTTTAAAGCAATATTAAAAATGATCTGATTTATGGAGCCAGGTCATGCTATTCAATCAGAATGAAGATTAAAAATCAGGTTTATTTTGAAATTAGACGAGGGCAATGTTGATATGAATGTCATACATATATAATGTGCTTTCTTAAAACATGCATGAAAAGCCAACATAAAAGGTACAATCCACAAGACAGCAAATTGGGCTGTGAACAAAAAAATCATGTATTACATATAAAATTTAATTATTTAGTATTTACTACTTCACCTCAAACTGATGACAGTTAGGTATACTATGAAGCATGAAAACACAATGCTTCTGTATTTTTTTTTAAGTTTAAAACTTTTAATTTTAAACAACTTACTGTCCAAAACTTTATGAAATACTGAAGAACCGTAGCAGCAACAAACAGACAATACAGGAGGGAATAAAATAAAAAAAGGAGAAAAAACTTGTAGTTGGAAAATCCCACGCAGTTATTCACCCTGGAAAAGGAAAAAGAAACAGAATGTTTTTTCCTTCTACAGCAGAGTTAAACAAATTTCAGCAGCCATGTTATATAGATGATGTCAAAAACAGTTGCTAATGGGATCGCCCGTATCCTCACGACACTAAGGATCAGTCAGTTACTTTTTCATAGAAAGCAAACTAAAGGATTTGCTGTTTGTCACCCTTCCAGAATATTTTCTAGCCTTTTAGCTTGTTTCTGCCTTTCCTGGGGGTGTGGGGGAGGGTGAGAGTGAGGAAAAGAAGAATAAGATTAATTTTTGAACAAAGAACTAAGAACCATGATAAAACCTCCCTTGTTACTATTATTTTGAAAAAGTTATAGTTGATAATTCTAGAAAGGATGTTGGTTCTTACCTGACATGCCCGTTCTCTTTGAGCTGTGAAGAGCATCCAGTAGTGGGAGGCGCTTCAGTCTCTGCATGTCTAGGCTGGGCTTAATTTGGGGAACGCTCCTCCTCCTCCACGGGACTCCTCCCCAGCGTTCCCCAGTTTTGGCGAAGATGAGAGAAATAAACACCCTCGCCCTCAATGCCCTAACAATTTGTTGGTCGGAAACAGGACCCCACCAGATGGAAAAAGGGTGGGGCTGGATGCTCTTCACAGCTCAAAGAGAACGGGCATGTCAGGTAAGTACCAATGCCCTTTCTCCCATGAGCTGTGAAGAGCATCCAGTAGTGGGACATACCAAAGCTTGGCCTGTCCTACGGGAGGGACTCCGTCTGGCTTGGACTCCCCTCCTGGTCCCTGTTGCAGAACTCTTCTGCCAAAGGAGGCCTCAGCGGATGCAAACACATCTACTTTATAATGCCTAATGAAGGGCGATGGAGAGGCCCAGGTTGCGGCTCAACAAATTTCAGTTATTGGTGCCTGCGTGGCCCACACTGCTGATGTTGCGGCGCTCCTTACTGAATGAGCTGTTATGCCCCTGGGCACCTGTAGTGATTGAGTCTGATACGTTTTCGCTATTGCAGCCCGTAGCCAACGGCCTATTGTGGAAGATGAGGCTTTGCATCCCTGAGTGTTGGGCTGAAATGACACAAATAAAGCTTCCATTTTTCTGAAAGTCACTGTGCGGTGAATATATATTCCCAATGCTCGTCTCACATCAAGCCGATGCCATTGTAGTTTCAACCCTTGGGATGGCCGGGGACAGAAATTAGGAAGTATCAGCTCTTGTGCCCTGTGAAAAGCTCAATTAATTTTGGGTATAAATGTAGGATCAGGGTGAAGGACCACCTGGTCAGAATGGAAGATGCAAAGGTCTTGTTTGATTGACAAAGCTGCCAGTTCTGAAATACAATGAGTGGAAGTGATCGTTAGAAGGAAAACTACTTTATACGTCAGAAATTGAAGACTTGACAATTTCAAGGGTTCGAAAGGGTACTTAGTGAGTGCAACGAGGACCTTGTTAAGGTCCCAAGTGGGATAATGGTGAACCGCTGGTGGGTATAAATTTGTGGCTCCTCAAAGGAAGCGCCGTATGCGTGGATGATGAGAGACAGTAGACCCTCACAAGTGACAACCGATGCCAAGGCCGCCACCTGTCTTTTCAACGTATTAGGTGATAATCCCTTGTCAAATCCATCTTGTAAAAACTCTAGGATTTGAGCCACTGATGGAGATATGGGATCAATGTGAGACTTAGTACACCATTTGCAGAAACTGGACCATGTGGCATTGTAAATGCGGGTTGTTGAGGGGCATCTGGCAGCTTGGATGGTGGCGATAACTCTGTTGGAAAACTTTTCACTCTTCAGATGTCTCCGCTCAACCTCCAGATGGTCAGGTGCAACCATTGAGGGTCCGGATGTTGAAGGGGTCCCTGGGTTAGCAAAACCCTGTCCGGTGGAATTCTCCATGGTGTTGATAAGAATAGACTGCGGAGGTCTGCAAACCACGGCCGTCTGGGCCAGTAAGAAGCTACTAGCAGCAGCTCCGCCCTCTCGTCGAGCAGTTTCTGGATGACCTTGGGGATCAGTGGAAGTGGTGGGAATGCGTACAGAAGACCTTGGGGCCAACGGCAGCAGAGCGCATTTAAGTTCTCCACTCCTTGCAAGGGGTACCTGGAAATGAATCTGGGGAGCTGAGAGTTGAGGGAGGAAGTGAACAAGTCTACCACTGGCTGCCCGAATCTCCTGACCGCCTCTTGAAACAGGGTCGGATGGAGGCACCACTCCGATTGATCGATTGTGGCCCTGCTTAGCCAGTCTGCCTGTGTATTCGACAGGCCCAAAATGTGCTCTGCTCTGATGGAAAGCGGGTTGTTCTCCGCCCAATGACACAAGCGCTCCGCTTCCCGCATAAGGTGTTTCGACTGTGTGCCCCCGTTTATGTGAGCTTTTGCTGTTACGTTGTCAGTCAATGTTAGTATGTATTGATTGCGTACCTGTGGAAGGAAGCTGCGGAGAGCCAGGTGTACTGCTTGAAACTCCAGCCAGTTTATGTGCACGACTGTTCTATGGAGGACCAGTGGCCTTGGGCTGTGAGCAATTGAAAGTGAGCTCCCCATCCAAACAGGCTGGCATCGGTGGTGATGGTAAGTCTGTGGGGCTCTTTGAAGAGGAAACCTCTGTTGATGACTGGTCTGGTCCACCAGTGGAGAGATATGAGGACCTTTGATGGTACTTTGACCTTGTATTTGGAGTTGCTTCAGCCGGAGTGCTGGTATGGGAGCAGGAACCACTGGAGGGATCTAGTGTGGAGCCGGGCCCAAGGAATGATATACATGAGATCATCTTGCCTAACAATTTTGATAGATCAGCTAGGGAAACCCTCTTATGAACCCTGATCTCCTTAACTAATTGATGAATGCTATTTTGTCTATCTGGTGACAGGAAAACTTTGCCTTCCACCGTATCTATGACTGCCCCCAGATGGATTAATCGAGTCGAAGGTGTTAAATGACTCTTTTTCCAATTGATTGAGAACCCATGTTGTTGTGGGGATTGTAATGTGATCTGAGTATCTCTGACTGCTTGATGATGGGAAAATGACAAAATTAATATGTCATCACGGTAACACTGGAGTCGTACAGGGATACCTTGGAGATGAGTAGCGAGAGCTGCGAGAACCTTTGTGAAGGTCCTGGGGGCAGAAGCTAGTCCGAAAGGAAGGGCCACATATTTGAAATGGTGGTTATTATAACAGAATCTCAAAAATTTATAGTGGGAAGGCCGAATAGAAATATGTAGGTACGCCTCCGTCAGATCGATAGACGTAAGGACGTCACCCTTTCTGATGCTGAATAAGATAGATTGCAGGGTGTGCATTTTAAACTTGCGATATACTAAGAAACGGTTAAGACGCTTCAGATCTAATATTGCTCTCCACCCCCTCGAACTTTTGGGAACAACAAAAAGATGTGAATTGAAAGCTCGCCCTCATTGGTTGGTAGCTATTGGTTGGATGGCTTGTATGTCCAGTAGATGTTGGATAGCTGTTTCCATAAGATTGCGTTTAACCGGATCTCTGGAAAAAGGGTATGACATAAATGGGGGAGTGGATTGAAACTCCAGCACAAGGCCAAATCTGATCATGTCTCTGACTTAGGAATCAGACGTTGAGGAGTCCCATTGGTCCGCGAATAATTTAAGGCGTCCACCAATGGGAGTCGGGTCCAGGGAGTTATCTTGGACGCCGGAAAGACTTATTTCTTGCTCCTCAAAAGGATCTCTTGGATTGACCACCCCTTCTGTTCCTATCCCCGAAGTCGGACCTTTCTGGCTGCTGCCCTGGTCTGAATGATGGGGGTTTCTGGTATCTGGGTGAGAAGGGGCCCTGATAAAAGGGCTGAAAGGATCCCCTCCGAAAGGACTGAGGGTTTCTAGAACTTGACTTCCGAAAAAGGGAAGGTGGAATTTTCTTTTTGTTTCAGGTTTCGATTAGCAGCGGGTCGAGGGCAGGGCCAAACAGTCTGTCTCCCGCAATAGGAGATGAAGCCAGCTTGCATTTGTGCTTAATGTCCGCTTGCCAATGTTTTAACCATAGTAAGGGTCACGCTGTGACATGTGAAGTAATGGCCCTGGCTGAAAACTTGACCGCATGATAAGTTGCATCAGCTGAGAATTCAGCAGCTGCTATAAGTTTTGTAATATCTTGGTGCACTCTAATTTTGGAATTAGGGACATGCTCCCGTAAGAGACGAGCTACCTGAGAGAAGAACGGGTAAAGAAGGAAGCGGCCGTGGCCGCTCTGATGGCCCATGCATCAGACTGATGGGCCCTGCGTAGGGCTAGCTTGGCCCCTTTTTCCTCTGGCTTTAATGCCTCCAGCGCTTCACTGGGAATGGAGGACGAGGACGCTAATCCCACTATAGGTTCGTCTACCTTGGGAGTATTCAACAATTTTGAGAAATCAGGGGCCAAATTAAAATATTTCCTGTCATATCCCGTGGGGGCAGGGTACACCGCTACAGACGCCCACTGTTTCTGTAACAGGTCTGAAAACATGTGAGGAACTGGAATCACATCTGCCTCGACTACCGGTTGGTTGAAAATTAGATCTTCTGGTCCCTCTTCTGAAGGAGTTGGAGTGGTAGAAAGGGCCAACTTGTTCAGGCGTGCAATGTTTTTTGCCTTAAACAAGAGTGATCTGAATAGTTGTGGGCGGAATAAGCCTGTAAATACAGGTTGATTGGGAACAAGGCCCTCGTCCTCAGACATCCCCCTTTCTAAGGGGTCTGCTTCTGACAGGGCCGGGTCACTGTCACGTATTGATCCTGATTCAATCTGTTCCATTTGATCAATTTGATCCACTTCTTCCGCCTCCTCCTCCTCCTCCGCCGGCCCTTGGAGGGGTGCTTCCCCCTGTAACTGTACCTGGGTATAGTGTTGCTCTGATCTGGTCAATGACCTTAGCGATTGAGAATCATAATCAGCGGTTACAGGATGTTCCCTGGTCAGAACTGTGTATTGAAGACCTGCTGCAATTCCCTGGTGGATTGCCAGGTCCATCCACGCCTTCATCCTCTCTGGAATTTCCTCTGGAAGAATGTCGTCCTGTCGAAGACCAGCAGCCGTTGGAGTGAATGTAGCTTTGGGAGCCCTTCGTGTGGTTGGTGTTCCAGGTAACTGGGCCTGTTGACTCTGGGGAACCAAGATGCATCTGGATGAGAGGGAGAGATCTAGGGGAGGAGGAGGGTGGGAAGAGGTAGACAGTCCTGGACTAAGGGGTGGAAAGTCCTGTGAGGCCCTGTGTGCCTCCCTTGCACACTTATCTATTTGCTTTTCTAATGCTTTATGGCGCCTGTTGGCATCCTTTTCTGAAGCTTTAGAATGACCTTTTGTCTGCTTAGACTTGTGCTGAGATTTAGCTTTGACCCTTGATGTTGAGGTCTGAGAGCTACTACCGCCTGCCATTTTGATTGAAAGAAATGCAGTATGCTCGTTATTCAAAGCGATACTGTGGAGGCGGTTGGCACGCCCAGGGGCCTGATCCAAGAAGGGACCGTTGCCCTGATAATATCTTATCCCCTTCTTTTTTTTTTAAAGATATATGTATATATAATATGAGTTGTATCACAGTAATATTATCTTTCGTTATTAAGATATTAATACCGAATATTTTATTATTATTATTATTATTATTATTATTATTATTATTATTATTATTAGAGTGAATGATAATCACCAATATATATAGATATAAATATATATTAAGAAAACATGTAAATATATAAATATATATATCTAAATTAATAGAAAAACAGCTTGATATAGTGAATATCCAAACAGCCAAATTAAGAACGCCTGAAAAGGCCAAGATAATAAAGAGAGGCCTTCAACAGCTTCCCTGAACAGGCGGACATGGGCCTGGGTGCTCGCTGTTGTGCCACTGGGTGGGTAAGGCTGTGAAGGTTAAGCCAACAATAATGCATGGACGGCAGCGAATCTAATAAGAAAACGAGGTGTAATAATTCCTTAGGTTATCTGAAGAGAAACCTCTGATCGGGAAGGAAAACTACCTCATACAGCTCAAGTTACAAACAGCGCGGCCACATGGTTTTTAAAACAAGAGCAAACAATGGCCGTTACTTTTGGCGCATGCGGGCTTCCCAGCAACAAATTCCTGCCGCGTGGAGAAAATACCTCTGACAGCTTCTCCTTGTGGCTAAAAAACGGCCGGGAAAGGGGTGGAAAGAATTAATCTTTTATGCTTTCCACACAAAGACGGCATTCTGAGGGGAAAAATCAAACGATACGACTCGGATGAAGGTGAAAACACCCACGCCGCTATTGCCGATGTAGAAAAAGGCAATGTGGAATCACAATGGCAGAGGGTAGAACAAGCAGTTGGGGGGGAGCAATGCCGAAGCCTCCCACCGCTTTGGGGTGCGAAACGGCGCTGCCCGAAAATTCAAACGATCTCTGACGGCCAGATGGAGAGAGCTAACGTTGGGAGATCGTAATGTGATGTGGAGGCTAAAAGCCTGCAAAAACAACTGGACTATTTCCAAACCTGCTGAATAATTCTCCTGTTTTGGCCAAGGAAGAACAGAAAGCACTGCCTATCCTCAACGAGGCTGAGCCAAAACTGGGGAACGCTGGGGAGGAGTCCCGTGGAGGAGGAGGAGCGTTCCCCAAATTAAGCCCAGCTTAGACATGCAGAGACTGAACCACCTCCCACTACTGGATGCTCTGAACAGCTCATGGGAGAATGTGTTATTTGTTGTTAGTGTGAAAATAACCTAAGGTTTTTATTGTGAGAAAATAAAAATCAATCTAACTTAAATTTAGACAGTTAGTAGTTCACTCTCTAAATTTTCCCCTAATTATTCTTAGTTATTCCTACTCTTAATTCATTTTGTGAATACCCAATAATAAAAGAGCTTACTTATTTGTTTTGTTACGAAACCAAAAACAAGAAGGAAGAAAAAAACATACCAAGGACAATGATGATCCATTTTCAGTACACATCTAAAATAAAAGAAGACATCTGAATTAAAGCAAAGGTGATAAATGAATAGTTTTATGCTTTTTTCAATAAATATATCTTCTCTCAATCTTTCAAAGTTTTTTCCAGTACAGTATTTTCCAGCACTGATCACTCTACCTCTGTATCCAGATTGTTTAAAGTAATCAGGAAGAAGCAAAATATTACAAGGCCTATATATTTTCCTTCACAATAAAATACTATCAACAAAATCAAGAAAAACAATAAAATACAATCAACAAAATTGAGAGAGAAAAAAGAGGCATGCTTACGCCTTAGAACTTCTTTTTCACTCAATCCATTTTGCAATAGGGAGAAGAAATAGGGAGTGCATAATGTGTGTATATTCTCTTGCATGTGGAAAAACAATGAAGAGGCATTTGGCACAAAAATGGCAAAAGGAAAGAGCAGCGCCCTTTCCATTTAACTTTGCTATTCTTCCACATAGTTACAACTTTTTTACAACTACCTTTCATTTTCAAGTCCCTGGAAGGATTCCCCCCCACCCATCCTATGCATGTGGTGTTCACTACCTTTAGCATTAATTCAAATTAAAACACTATTTGTCTGTGAAAAATACTATTACGACAAAGCATCACACTCAGCTTCTAGAGACCCCATCCTTCTTAGCATATTCTAAAGCAAATTAATGGAGCACAACAGCATTAATGATACACTGAGCATTTTCAGCTGGGGGCTGTAATACTGACACAGGAATTCAAAAGGTTGTGAGAAATGGTACTATGGGGCTGTACACTGCCAAGAAAGGAGAGTAGTGGAGTCAATGCAATAGAATCCTATTTTACTTCTGTCACAAACTCAAAGCCATACTATATATGGGAGGTAACTGGCTTATCTTTAACTTAAAAAACTTAATTACAGTACAGCCATGGTTACATAATTTGTTTTGAGGTGGTTATTTCAGTTTTCCTTTTGGTATTTTTAAAATCTCCATATTCCCAATATGTGAATTCTGAGTGTGTATCATCAGTACATGGCATTCTCTGAACTCGTAGGGTACAGCAACAGTAGATAGGTTTGAAGAGAATAGCATGAGCATGCTTGGGTAAACATGCGTTTTGGTTATGCTTGTAGCATACTACCAACAATCTACCAAAATTGATGGTCTTTCCCCCCATTTTACAACCAGCAAGGAATGCTATACATGGCAATATGAATGGTAAACAATCTACACTTTCCCATATTGTTGAAAACATGTGAAAGCTTCAAACAACTGAAGTCAGGATGTATAGTGAAGAACGATACGTATGGGCTATAGCAAATGAAATGTTACACCTTGACATGTAAAAGGAGATGAGGATGTGGAACATGGGTTAACTAATTAAATTACATTGTATGAAATGAAAATTGGTTTTTATATGTCTGTGAAAAAGAAATGGATACAGTGAAATAGAACTGAATGAACATGGTCTAATCTTATGTAGTGGAATTGATGAATGAATGCAGGGGTTTGAAGCAGTAATTATGAATGAAAGTGCTAAGGTGTATGTCATAAAGTATGAATTGGTGCTATTTAGGTTACTGTAGATGTTTATGGGGGGGTGCGATGGCTCAGTGGTTAAAAACACTGAGCTTGTCATCTGGAAAGCTGACAGCCCGGATTTGAGACCCAAGCTCCGCCCAACAGGGTGAGCTCGTATTACTTTCTCCCAGGTCTGACCACCTAGCAGTTTGAAATAATGCAAATGCAAATAGATTGATAGGCACCACTTTGGTGGGAAGGTAAAGTGTTCTGTGCGTGTTTGGCATATAACCATGCTGGCCACGGGACTCCAGAAATTGTCTTTGGACAACACTGGCTCCCTTGGTTAAGAAACGGAAATGAGAGCCACCCCCCACGACGGACAGGGAAACCTTCACCTTCTTTAGTTGTCAATGAAAGTAGGAATCCATGATTGATGATATCCATAATAATATTCCAGTGAATGTAAAAACCAAACAAGAACTGTTTGTTAAGTGTGTTTAATAAGGTGCTTGAAAGAATTTTGATCAAATAGATGTGACAAGGACCAACATCTGAGGCATTGCAGCTTAATGGCAGCGAAGGAATATGCAGATCAGCTTTTTGCTTTTCAGCAGCTCACAAAGAAATGTTTGAATATAAGAAAGTAAGTTTATTCTGTTTATTTTTTTAAAAAGCATATGATAAAGCAAATATGTTGGAATTAAATAATATTTTCAGAATTGGTTGCTGAATGAAGAAAGAATGACATAGAGGTAAACATGTGTGTGAATAAATAGAATGCTTAACAAGAGATTCAATCTGATCAGGGAATAAGACAAGGATACACAATGTCTCATTGGGTGTTTAATGTATTTCTGGATAAATATATGAGGAATCTGTGTGGTGATTATTTAGTGTATGGCATCTACAGAGGTCACACAATCATTGACATACAAATTTAGTTTAAATAAAGCATCAGCAAATATATATAGTATATAATATATGGGGACAATACAATACAGGAGAAAAATATTAAATTGAAATAAAACCACAATAAAATTACAATAATATGGAACCACAGAATTATGGTATAATGGGATAGATGTTTCAATCAATACCTAAGGAAACTAACCATCTAACTGCTTCTGGTGTGTCTGAAATGAGATCATCCTTGAAAGGGCCATCAGGAAAATTCATGAGTATCTGAGCAATCAATGTTTCTATGCCATGGCAACACTGACATAAACCACTCTGTGATTTTTATTGAAGTCACAGCATAACATAACCAATGTAAACATAATTTGATTGCAGTTCTGGGTAACCATGGCTCCCAATGCTTGGTTGCTTGGGCATGATAAGTAAGGCATCTTGGCATGGAAAGCATGATAAACAAACATTCAGATTCTTGAGTGAATTAATCTGTTCTGCTCTCAGAAAGACCCAAAATGAATGTCAGTGAACAGTGCACATCAATATGCTGGTTGGTTTATAATAGGGGACCACAAACTTGGCAACTTTAAGACCTGTGGACTTCAACTCCTAGGCAAGTTCAAGCCCATTTTCAACCAGGGAAGGTCACCGTGTGAATATGGGCCTGTCAATCTCTCTTATTTAAATGTTACCAATGAAATAAATGAGTTTTGATACTTTTTCCCATTTGCAAAACAGATTACTATGAAGAAACACCTTATACAGGCAGTCCTCGGGTTACAATGGAAATTGGGACCAGGATTGCTGTTGCCAAGTGATGCGGTTGTACAGTGCTACATCATGTGTGGCTGCATTACTTAAAGACAGAAACCAAGGCACTCCCAGTTGTCCTCATAACCCCAAGACATGTGGGTTGTAAAACAGGAGTCCCAGGAAGGGAGTGCAGGGATGAGCCTTGATAGGCCTGGTGCAGGCCACATATAAGTTGGAAGAGAGAGTGTTGCAGAGGCCAGGGAAGGAGGATGTGGGATGCATGCAGGCCAGGCAGAAGGAAGCAATACGGCATGCAAGAAGTGGAGGGCTTATCAGAGCAACTGTGCAACCTCCCCTGCTGGCAAGCCCCATTGATTTTGCTTGGGGTAAGCTGGCAGGGAAGGCCTCAAATGGCCACATCATGAGTGTGGGATGCTGCTACAATTGTCATAAATGTAAGCTGGTTGTCAAGCACGCAGATTGCAAACACATGATTGTGAGAGTGCTACAATGGAACTCTGAGGAACAGTTGTTAAGTACCATTCATTCAACACTGTTGCAATTTTGAAGACATGCTGAAGAAGTGGTCAGTAAGTGAGGACTACCTGTATGTGAAAAAGGAACTCTGTGCCTTCAGGTTTGAAGATATGTTTGAAAACAGACTCATCAATCCAACCTAGAATTGGTATATACTTACAGGTCACATGCAGAGCAATGATGACATCGATCAGGTTTGATTAGCTGGCATCTATCGCAGTATCTAATAGCTATATTGAAGATTTCAAAATCAAGATATGAAATACAAAGCTTTAGAATTAGGACTTTAAAACTTTTCTACTTCTCAAAACAGAATCTGGAAGAATTCAAAATGTAAACAGGGCAGTCATATTTCAAAGATAAATGGGTAGGGAGTAATATGACAACTCTCCAATAACTTATTATTTATTCATACAGATTTTATTGGACATTCAGCTCCAGTACAGAGCTGTGAAAGTAATAGGAAAGTAATCTATATCTGTATATCTATTTACAGAAAGGTGAAACATGAACATAATCTAAACCAGTGGTCCTCTTTTTTGGCTCCACGGACTGGCAGTGGCAATGGTGGCAGGGGGAGGGGACGGTTTTGTGTATGTAACTTAATCTCGCCCATGTGCAAATAAAGCTTCACACGCTTGTCTGCCACTTGCACAGCCCGGTACTGGACTGCAGCCCAGGGTGGGGACCCCTGATCTAAATGATATCTGGAATAGTTCTTAATTTTGATTTTCCCTTCTATTGCCATATTGTTAGACCCCCTGCAATTTGCATACCGAGCAAATAGATCGACAGATGATGCTGTTAATATGGCTCTGCACTACATTCTACAACACCTTGAATCTCCAAATACAAGGGTCCTCTTTGTAGACTTCAGTTCAGCATTCAATACCATCATTCCAGACATTCTTCTAACTAAACTAAACCAAGTAGTGGTACCTGAACACACTTGTAAGTGGATCATATGCTTCCTAAAAGACAGGAAGCAGCAGGTAAAGCTAGGCAGAATCACTTTTGATACCTGTACAATTAGCACAGCCCCCCCACCCCCAATGCTGTGTGCTTTCTCCACTTCTCTTTTCCCTATATACCAATGACTGCATCTCAAACGATCCATCCATTAAATTACTGAAATTTGCAGATGATACAACTCTGATTGGTCTCATTCGAGACAATGATGAACCCACATACAGACAGGAGGTTGTACAACTTGCCTCTATATTGTCAAACTATTTACTAAGTCTGCATTACTCTTACTATTCATCTTCTCATCCCTCCTTTCACCCATCTCCTCCCACTTATGACTGCATGAATGTAACTTTGTTGCTTGTGTCCTTATGATTTTTTTAATGACCGTTTACTAGTATGATTTGATTTGATTGCTTATGTTTCCTACTATGATTAGATTGCTTATTTGTACCCTTTGACTACTATTAAGTGTATACTTACGATTCTTGACAAATGTTTCTTTTTCTTTTTCTGAACACTGACAGCATATGCACCAAAACAAATTCCTTGTGTTCCAATCACACTTGGCCAATAAATTATTCTATTCTATTCTATATACCTTCCAGAGTCACAAAGAAATGACTCTGAGAGGGGCATCTGATATATTTTTATAAACAAATGAATACCTGGAACTTTGAGTTAACCACATGGAGTCTCTATGTGTGAATTGGGTGCCAATATAAATTAAATGAACAAACAAACAAACAAACAAACATCATGCAAAACTTTCAAAATGAGAGGAAAATATCATTTCCATCACATTTTAAATAGGGAGATACTATCATCCTTTTTCACAAAATACCAAAAATATCTTTGCAAATAATGAATCTCTGGCACATTTTGAACCTGGATGCTATAAATGCAGTTAGTAAAGGGGTTGTGCAACTCAGCCTGGCTGGCTAAGGAACATTTTAGCAATGTTTACATGATACAGATATGAGGAAGAACAATTCTTTTATTTTGGAAAATCTGTTGATGTAGAAATAAAGATAACACATCTGGTGCAAGTCAAGGGAAGGCAACGCTAATGGCTTACCTCTTGATGTTGTTGTAGTATAAACAGGCAGTTCTTTAGCAGCTCTTCTTAGAATTTCCTGCTGAGATTCTGGTCTTTCTTCTTTTTCATATTGCTCCTTATCAGTTTTTGATAAGCAAAACTGTAGAAAAGGAGAAAAGCATGTTTGTTTTCTACTAATTATATTTAGCATCTGCTAACTTGTATTTAGATGATATGTACAGAATGTTTCGGGATTTTTAAAAATTATTAATTCAAATAAATATTAACCCAAAATCAAAGAGCTGACCAGTTTGTATTATCAAACAGATAATGCATATTATCCTAACCCAAACTCTATTTCCCCTTTCATCTCTTTAGCACTGTACACACATATCTTCTACCTCTCTACATTATTACTAGGTATATGGCATTATCTGGTAATTATAAATGCATGTTAAATACATTATCTATATTTTTGGTGGATTCAGCAATTGTGACTGTCAGATAAAATGTGCAGTGGCCTAGACAGATGGAAACTGCACTGTTCAAATTTATATAATGAACATTTGCGCTGGTTGGCTGGAAACAGGATTCCACTCATTAAACCCTCACTTGCCTACAGGGATCAAGAATTGGATGATGAAGGAATGATGCAGTAATGAACCCACTAAATAAAAGCATGAGACTGAAGCCCTGGAAAATTTCAACACTTTGCCAATCCACACTGACAAGCTGAGCACTGTGCTTATATTTTAAGACAAGATGCCGTAATGTGGAAAGCATTTCAATTCAACAGGATAACATGGATCTATGCATTTCATAAAAAGTGACTGTACAGAATTATAGCTCCAATCTAAGTAGATGGCCAGCTTCAAAACAACTTGTGTATATACCTTTTAAAACCTTGTCATCTGCATGAATGTCTCTTTAGTATTACCTATTTGTAAACAGGCTGAAACTGGGCTTAAGATCTTCTTGTGCTATGGTACATTCTAAGCTTTTAAAAATACGTAGCCACACATTAAAAACATATAACGAGATGCTGAATGCGATTCAAGGGATGGTTCTGATTCATAAAACCTTATCTGCTTGTTATTGCTTGTTATCTACAGCACTGTTGTCTGTGGGATTCTGCCTGCCCAGCACAATCAATCCCAGAAATGATGGTTCTCTCCCCATTAGGGTGACAGGTGGGCAGTATGGTTATTCACAAATATTTGTCTATTTTTAAAATTTAAAATACTATATAATATTCTTCCATTGCCTTTCTACTTTCAAAAACATACTGTGTAAACACACTTCAGGCTACTTTTGAGAGTAAAAGAAAATAGATATATCCAGGCCAACATAAGACTCTGATAATGTTTGATTCTAAATAGAAAAGCTGTAAGTTTTAGCAAAACCATTAAAATTTCTGAATTATAATTGTCTCGGGCTGCATTTTGGTTTACCATAGGGCATTGATAAAATAATTATTTTTAGGAAGGGTCATGTTTAATTTAAATTAGCAAAAGGAGTTCCATAGTGCATCTCTCTTTCTCTCTTTCTGTCTCTCTCTGTCTCTCCTTCTCTCTGGATGTAACATGGATTTGGACATTATTTGGGTGTCTTAAAATTAATAGCATTCCTAAGCAAGACTGAAGTTTGTTTTGAGCATAATTGTTAAAGTAAGAATGATTATAAAAATGTAGAGATTGTGAATTGGTTTATACCTATATTAAAATTATGAAACAGAACACAAAGGCCACCTATTTGAACACTATTACTAAGCTATCTTATTCAAAATAGCAAATTGTTCAAATTAAAGAAATCTAAATTAAGCTATGGCAATGAGGTAATTTCAGAAAATAATTGTATGATTTTTATTCATAGTGCTATAATTTATTAAATGGGAACAGAAAAACTAAACAAGAAGAAAACTTAACAAATCTTATTTTAAAGCAAGCATTAGTATCACACACAATTCAATAGTAAAAACTGTATAACTTTGCGAATGATAACATTTACCTCATCGGAAGGGGAGGCAGGAGATGTAAAAATAGTCTTCCAATAGGACCACGCAAACATAACAAATGACAGATGAAAAATCACAAGGTAGATAACTGCAATAAAAATAAAATACAAATAAAATGTCAGTGAAAATTGTTAAAAAGAGCAAAAACAATTACATGAAAAAGGCTTAGGTGAATAATGAATCATTTCCTTTGACCTACTATCGTTAGCAAAATAAATTTGAAGACATAATTGGAGAATATGAAATTGCACAGAACCCTGAGTAATAGTCAACAATAAATCAATAATAATAGGATCATACAAAAACAGATCGTTCCAACTGAGTCAAATAACAATTGTAGGTAGCTAGCAAACAAAAATTAGAAGTGGATTCAAAGTCTGGCTTGTAAACCGAAGTGTGACATTATAGATATGGATGCTGTTCTATCCTATAAACCATTTCAACCACAAAAGGATGCTCCAAGCATATAGATTATTGCAATTTAATTGCTCTTAAATAATATCTGGAAACAGTAACCGGTTCAGAATGCTGGGCAAGTGAGGTTTTGGGTGTCTAGCAGTTTACTCAAGTCATTGCACAGCTGTAGTTGCTATCTAGATCCAATTCAAGGTACTGGTTATCATCTTTTAAGTGCCACATGGCACAGACTCGGGTTAGTTGTGGGACTGCCTCTCGCTAATGGTATCTATGCTCCTACCCATGTTTCCCCGAAAATAAGTCTGGGTCTTATTTTCTTTTGGGCCCCAAAATAAGCACTAGGGCTTATTTTTGGGTGTCTTATTTTTTTCTCATTTGCGGGAGGCCCACTTCTGCTTGCTTACGGTGGGACAAGAGGCCCCGAAGTGCTCCAGTGCCACTGCCTGAAGGCGGGGGTAAAGGTGCCCCATGTGCCATGCACTGGCTTACCTCAGGTCCCCTGCAGCCAGGCCACCCATGCCCTGACACCTCCTTTGCCTTGCAGCCCAGGCACCAGCACATTGCTCAGCCTCTTGCTCTGTTGCGGCTGCAAGCAAGCAGAAGAAGTGGGCCAGCAGTCATGTGAGCTCCTGCTGTACATTTGCTGGTGCAGCTGTTGGGGTGTGGATGGCCTGGCTGCGGGGGCCTGAGGTAAGGTCCACCCCCTGCCTAGCCTTGTGACCGCAGCACCATGGGCAACCAGACAGAATGGGTGGCCAGCTTGCTGCGCGGGCTCTTAAGTAGGACTTATTTGGAGGGGGTGTAGGGCTTATATTAGGCGACTGTGTAAAACATGCTAGGTCCTATTTTTGGGGAAACAAGATCTTTGGTTACATAGGTGAGCACGCTCCAGGTCTCCTTTCTTAAATGCTGCTACCTGATGGCTGCCCCAGCACTTTGGAGTAGCTTCCCTCCTGAGATACAAGGGATCTCTTCTATTTGAGTTTTCCCCCTAACACTGGACTAGGGTATGGGTTGGACTGGGAGGCTGTTTAGTTTGGTGCCTGGAGGGGAAGACTACTTCTGATTTTAGCTATGTTTTTATGGATCGTTGTGAGCTACCTAGAGTCATTATACAAGATAAGCATCCAGATAAGTCCTGATGGGGTTTCTTGTTTTCTAGCCAATTTATTTTAATCAACCAATATTAATTCAATTATTTGGAGACATTGATCTTTCCATGTTATAAGAATGACTTGTAGGGATAGCATACAAACAGATATGCACACACAAAGAAACCTGAGATACATAGATACATATATGAGTAGAAATTGCCAGATGTTTTCAGATAATGATGGCAACCATAGTAACTAGTAATTACACTGGACATTTTTTCTTTGCTTTTTATTTTTCTGGGTTTTAAAAATCAGAGCTGTCTTCTTTTTAGATAACCACAATATTGATAACACAAGCCAGTTTTGCTTGAGGTTTCTAAGCAGAGTTCAGAATCAAAGGTATGTTTTCCTGCAAAAAGAATATATGATAGCAATAATATATGCAATTTGAGATAAGCACTATAAATATTATAATTGTATTTTATTATTACAAAATATGGAACTGGAAATCATCATATGTTGAAATATTTGCACTTATAAAATCTTGTTTTAAAATTTATTTTTTACTTTTAATTAGATTTTTCATTTGGTTTTAAGAGTTATTGTATTTTTACTGTTTTCATATTTTGGTTGTGTTACGTGGTTGTTTTTAATATGTGAGCTGCTCAGAGTTGCAAATATGAGATATGTGGCTATACAAATTGAATACATTTGAATTAATAAAATCCAGCCTCAGCTTCAGAAAAGGTCATCCTCCATTTCACTTTGATAAGCTCAGTCTGCCAATATAATCTGGTATTCATAATTTATATCTTTCTTACTTCTGAAATTATGAATATTTATAATAAGCAAATGTATAGTCCATGAGAAACTATTCTATTTTGATGCATTCATTCTTCTTATTTAACATTTGCATGGAGTCATGTGTTGTAAATATAATACTCAGCTTTATATCTCAACTATGGCCTAAACCGAAGTTGTCGTTGAGAACTTGTCTCTATGTCCTGGAGGCTGTTACAGCCTAGATAGAGACAAACAGGCTTAAATTCAGTCCCAGCAAGACAGCAGTTTTGAGTGAGGAAGCTTTCCAGTTACAGAAAAATTCTCTCTTTAAGTGACCAATTTTGAGATATATCAAGGGCAATTGCAAAATTCCAATTGCAGCTTTATGGATGCATGTTAATTGCTGCATATGTTTTAATGCCTATTGGGTTGGTTTAACTCCACAAAATCATTGAATCAAAGGCTTGGAAGGGACCTAGGTCTTCTAGTCCACTCCCCTGCTCAAGGCCATCCCAGACAAATGGTTGCCCAATCTTCTTCTTCTTCTTTTTTTTTTAAACCTTCTGTGATGGAGCACCCACAACTCTGGGAGACAAATTGCTCCATTGATTAATCGTTCGTTCTCCCTGTCAGGAAATTCCTCATTTTCAGGTTGAATCTCTTTTTGATAAGCTTCACCTGTTGTTTCTTGTCCTGCCCTCAGGTGCTACGGAGAATAAACCAATGCTCTCTTCTCTGTAACAGCTCTTCAAGTATTGGAAGACTACAATCATAGTCCCAAGCCTTTTCTTCAATAGGCTAAACATACCTAGTTCCCTTTGCTGTTCATTTTAAGATTTAGTCTCAAGATCCTTATCGTCTTTTGTTGCTCTTCTCTGCACTCTTTCTAGGGTCTCAACATTTGTGTGTGTGTTGTGTTGACCAGAACTGGATGCAGTATTCCAGATGTGAACTCATTAGAGTAACATACAGCAGTACTATAACTTCCCATGATCTTGGTGCTATTTCTCTGTTGATGCAGCCTAGAACTGCATTGGGTTTTTTGGCAGGTGTAGCACACTGCTTACTCATACTTAACAGTGATCCCTCAGAATACCTAGATCTCTCTAACAGTTACTACTATTGAGCCAGGTACCGCCTATTCTATATCTGTGTATAGGACCTTAACTTTTCTCACCACTGAATTGCATCATGTTGGATAGGGCCCATGCTAAAGTCTGTCAAGATCCTTCTAAATCTTTATCTTCCAAAATGTTGACAATAAAGTAAATAAAGCAATAAAATAAATAAACCAACCAGTAATATATGTGTTTTAGTAACAAGAATTTATTAAATATACTCTTTGCCTTAGAAATCATATGCATTACAGAACCTGGACTCTGAACTAATCATGTCCAGTAATTGATAAGCAAATGGCTTAGCTAGAACAGGTCACATATGGTTTTTTTATATAAAGTGTTCATAAGCTCATCTGCTCATAATACAGTTACTAGTCAGCAATAGGAAAATACAAACAAATTCATTATTCGGAAAAAAAACACATGCTATCAGTTCCTTGTATTTGTTCCTTGTCCCAAATGTTTCTATAAGCTAAGAGTAATTTACATAAAATAAGTAATATATTAGTAAATATTACAAAGTCCAAAAAATGCTATTATAGGAGCAAAAAGATATTATTTATTCCATGGAAGAAACTGTATTTAAGAATTTAAGAATGTCAGAACATAACTCTATATAAATAGCTGTGCTGGATCAGCCATCTTAGACCAGCATTTTTTTTAGTAACAACCAGATGCTTCTCACAGGTAGGAGAGAGAGAGAGACATACTTTTGTTCACCTGAAGCTAGTTTTAGAAGGCATGCTACTTCCAACCCAGAAGCAACCGTGAGTCAAGAATAAGATTTCATGATAGATATGTCCATTGTCAACTTATCTAAACTAAATATGTGTCAATAGCTTCCAGCTAATTTACCATGTGCAGATTGCTAGTTTTTGTACTTTAGAGTTCGTAATCTAACTGCATTTTCTAAATAGGTTTATAAAGTTACATTAAAAAGATAATGGAATGCCAATTACTGCAATTGCCTTTATCCCTTAAATCCAGAAGTTGCTGTTTCAGTGACTGAAGATTTTCTCTTTGTAAACAACTGCAAATAGCCTTCAGGAATTGTGAAAGAAAAGAAAAGATCTTTTGTAACTAATTGATGGAGGGGAACTGATGAAGGGAGAGTAAGCAGAGGGGAATACTGAATATTTATGTTTCTGTCACAATCTCGTACCAAATGAGTAATTGTTGACCTACTTTCCAAGCTGATAAAGAACAAAAGTTTAAGAAGAAATACCATTAGGCCTCAGTGCAATCCAGAGGCATTAGGAGGATCTGTCTGCTCCAATGACATTATAGATCACTGTTTTTTTTTTAGGGCAGCCTTGAATACACACAATTTTATGAAACTATTAATATTACTAGAATAGAAACAATTGGCTGAAATAATTGGTTTTGAGAGTACATATGATATTTTTAAATAATGTTCTATTATTATTATTTTTTTTAAAAAATGTTACCCGCCCAGAGCCATGAATCTGAGATGGACAGCCATGTATTGTTTTGAAAAATGAACTGAGAGAATATATACATGGAATCTGTCATGTTACATTAAAATATTTGTGAGAAAGAACAAAGTATTTTAATTGAAATGCAGTAAAATAAAACCAAGCTTAATTTCATTTGAGCAATTATTGTTAAACTTAACATTTCAAATACCTGAGTTCACACTTGAAATTTAATTTAATAGGTGTGTGGCAGGTTGGAGGTGGCTAATAGAGTAGTAACTATAAATATCCAGGACCTGGATAGCTCCTAAAACCCATGCTTTGTATAGTCATCTAAAATACAAAGGACCAGGGGTTAAATTCCCAGTACAGGATTTGAATTGCATAGAGTAACATCTTGCTACCTGCATCTGAGGTGTCCCAATAAAGGATCAAATTGGTTGTGTCACCATAACTGAAAACACCATGCTGTGAAAAGATAATGAAATTCCCTCCTGGGGATGAGCTGAAAGTCATGTGATGCCCAGTACATGGAAGCATGACATAACAGCTGTATCTTCCTGCTCTGGGGGGTTAAGGAAAGGTGGCCTGATTGTACCATTCTAATCCAAGACAGCTTCTAAGTAATTCTCCCCAAACCTCCTATTTTAGAATAAATCAAGACACTTTTTAAAAATGGGCTTTACCAATATTTTAATTCTTTGGGATGCATTTAAAGGCATCTACTTAAGAGATCCTTTATTGCTATTGCCTTACCAAAATAGAGATTTTGAGATTTTAATCTTATACAGTTGGAAAAGATGATTAAAGACTCATGTTTGTCTTATGCTAGAAATACCCTCCCCTCCAACGAATTGTATCAAGTATTTATAGCAGCTAAAATTAAATTGGGGCTACCGTTTTCAGAAAAATCTGAGTATTTGATGAAATATTGTATTTTAATTAGATTTATGGGGACCAAGGGAGAAAGCTGGAAAAGTATTGTCTTGCTGATTGAAACAACATAATTTTATATCAGTTATGTATTGAATCTGAATCAATTACCTGTTTCATTTTTACACACACGCACACGCACACACACACACATATGACATCACTAACTGTGCAACAAATTATAAATTTCAAGTGTAAGAGATCTCATAGGAAGAAAAACAGCACACCCATTGATTTTGTAAGAAGTTATAGGGACAATTTAATCAATGAAATTGAAGAAAGCCCTGGACCTGATGGATTTTTAGTTGAATGGTTTACATTTTTTCTAGATGTATCAGAACCTATATTGGTAGAGATTCACAATCAATCAATTAGTCTTTCTATATTCCCACTACCTTTATAAATTTCACAGTGCTGTCGTTGAAGCACCCGTCTGCCGAAGGCTGCAGTCGCCGAGGCAAAGGCATCCAGATGGTAGTGTCTGATGAAAGGAGACGGGGATGTCCACGTGGCCGCACAATAAATCTCCTCCAAGGATGCTTGGGTCGCCCAGGCAGCAGAAGTGACCGCACTTCTGGTAGAGTGCGCTGTCAGAACCTCTGCATGCACGACAGGCTTGGAGAAGAGCGAATCCCCTTGGCTATAGGGATTTCCTTGTGGCTCGGGAACCACTTCCTCTGGCAACAGCTTGGCAGTGACCAAGGCCTTGCTGAGTAATGGTCTGAAGAGAGTAGGTTTGAAGACCAATGCGGAGGATGTCTGCTCTGGGCGAGAATCCTCTTCCTCTGAAAGATTTTGGTCAAAAATCTCACCCTCTTCACACTCTGAATGAGAGGAGTAACTGTGTTCAGATGGTGAAGGCCTTCCTTCCTCATCAACCTCCTCCCATTCTGGTAGAGAAGAATGGACCCTGAGGTCCTGAGGCCTGTGTAAATCAGGATGATGAGGCAAGGAACTTATAGATTGAGAAGGGAGAAGGGCCTGAACCCTTTCCAGAGGTTGAAGAATTTGCTTGAAACCTTCAGCCAATTTCTGCCTAATGGCTGATGAGACTACATCTTGGATATCCCTTGGTCTATGCTCAAAGGTAGAGGCCGAAGGCAGAAGGCCTGCTGCTGTGGGATCGTGTTTATGATCCCTCCAAACTGCAGGCGTGGGGGAGGTCTGCAGACGCTGCCCAGCTTGCCTGCACAGAGCTCTGTAAAGCTGCTCCCAACATTGCAGGAGAGAGGGAGAGAGGGAGAGAGAGAGGGAGAGAGAGAGAGAGAGAGAGAGAGAGAGAGAGAGAGAGAGAGAGAGAGGCAGAGACCTGCTCTCCTGGGAGCTGCTTGAAGAGAGGAAAAATGTACTGAAGATCGCTGGTGATTGCTATCTAACAGAACGCTTTCAGAGACACAGTTACTGACTGAAAGGAGCTGAGTCAAAAGCTGGGGTCTCTCCCGGGGGCTGGCTTTTATATCTTAGTACAGACTCAGCTATGACATCATAGGAAGGAGTCAACCCATCCTGGGCTCTCGATGCAGCATGGAGGAGAACTGCTGCTTTCGCGCATCCTTTTTTACTTTTTTCTCCCATTACTATCTTTCCAGATCTTATTAGCAGCAGCAGTGCTAAAGAACATGAGTAGTTGCTACTATCATCTTTGATCTTGAGAAAATATTCCTTCTAGAATCTTCCAGCCAATAAGTTCCTGACACTTAATTACAACTGCAGATAGCTTTTTAGAACAAATTAGTTTACTTTTTAAATAGATAATCTTACAAGACTACAGAAGTCAAAAGGAAATTTCTAATTTCCTATGCTTCTCTAATTAAGCATCTGTTTCCTTCTCTCTGTAGCCTTTCTCCATTTCCTATCATATAAAACAGCTTTTCCCTACCATTTTCCATAGAAAAAACAGAATCCAGTCCCATTATTTTGTATTTTAAAGGCTGTTAAGGGAGGAGAGGCATTGCTGGGGAAAGCAGAACATTCTGGGGTGGAATTTGGAGGGAAAAAGTAAGAATATCTTTGAAACCTGTATTTTAATATAGATACAGTAATTGCTGATTTGAACCTCACAGGCAAAGTTGCAGCAATATTCAGTTTATAGAAAAAGACATGCAACCAGTTTAAACATTTGGAAAATTGTAATTTGTACTATTAATTATTTGTATCCCACGTTTATTATTTTTTACAAATAGCTCAAGGCAGCAAACATATACAACATACTTTCCAACTCCTATTTTCCCTACAACAACCCTGTGAGGTGGGTTAATCTAAGACAGGGTGATTGGCCCAAAGTAACTTGATTGGTTTTCATGGCTAAGGCAGGACTTGAATTCATGGTCTCCTGCTTTCTAACCTGGTGACTTAACCACTAGATCAAACTATCCTGGTGAATGTAAGTTAGAGGGCACACCAATATTTATTGGATGGAAAATGGAAAGTACTCTGCATATTTTTTGAGATACTTTCTGGCTAGAATAAATTATTTTTATTTATTTAGCTCAGCAATTCTTGTGGATCCTTGATTTGATGAACAGTAAGCTTATGCTGCTTCTGTTGCTTCAGAAAACTGAGTAATTTTAGATTTTAGGCAAGCGTCAGCAATATTTCTGTTGCCAAGATTTCATTTTTTCAAAAGTCGAAGGCGTCCATCACATAACTGACTGAAAGGCCTGATGCTGAAATTACATTTTTTTTCTTTCCAATTTTCAAGCAATTAATAATTTTGCAAGATAAAAGTTCAAATACTCTATGACTTGACATATGCACAGAAATAAAATGTTTTACAAAGAAACAATCATACCTTTTTCTCCAATTGAGGTAATTGTAACTGGAGGAAAAACAAAATGAGTGTGAGTCAATTTTAGAAATCAAGCACATTAATAAAACACAATGTATTCAAACATATTAAGATAATTGAAGAAAACATGCATTTTGTTGTTCTCCACTCAAAAAAAAAACCCTATTTATTTACATAGGTAATAACAAAACAATTGAAGGGTGGTGCCCATTTTTCCCTGGGGAAATGAAGGAATTATTTTGTTTGCCTGCCACTGGCAAACAATTCCTCATTTGTCTATCCATAGCTTGTATGCTTCTGACAAACACACTGAATTGGTAGTTCCTTCAATTGTGTTTATTTAATGCTTCCTACAAGAGATGAAGATTAGGAAACTGAAATAATGAAAGTTATATAAGGGCAACAGACAAAAATTCAGGCGCGGGAGCCCATTTTAAATGATCACATCGCAGCTTAATAAACTGAAATGATAACAAATCTAAGACTTCTGCCAACTCCATTTTTCTTGGTGTGTGATAATCATTTTTAATTTCCTCTTTAAATATGTTAGATTATTTTATCCCACTGTATCAGTAAAAGTTCAAGGTGGTATAAATTGTACTGCCTGCTCTAATTTTTCCACACAACCACCTTGGGAGGAAGCTTGGGCTGAGAAAGAACAGTCCAAAGTCACCCACTAAATTTCCCTGCCTGAGAATGGACTTAATCCTTGCACCAGACTATGGTTTTCAGATTCAGAATAACCTAATGTTTTAAATAGATTTCAGATGTCACACTGTCTTTCCCTAAAAAAAGTTTGAAGAGCACCCAAGCTTTATTAAGCACCCAAGCTTTATTAGGGCAAAATGATGAAAAATGATATTCATTCTTTTCATTTTTTGATCTGTGGAGAACCACAAGATATTTTGAAAAATAATACAACAATGGGTTTGTAATCTGGTATTTACTAGTAATTGTATATATTCTTGGATAAGCCTATCTGTGGATAAACCAACGCTCGAAGTTTGGACCAAAATACCATGAAAAATATACCACCAGCAGATAAACTGACTCTCAAAATTTTCATATGCCTTAATTTTTACAATTGTCCTATCCGTGGGTGGTGTATTTTTCATGGTATTTTGGTTAAAAAACTTGAGAGCTGATTTATTCGTAGGTGGTCTTATCTGCGAGTATATGTGGATAATTTTTAAAAGTATTACTCATAATACTTTTTATTATCAGCATTGGTGGTGCAGTGGTTAGAATGCAGTATTGCAGGCTCACTCTACCCACTGCTAGGAGTTTGATTCTGACCGACTCAAGGTTACTCAGCCTTCCATCTTTTTGAGGCTGGTAAAATGAGGTCTCGGATTGTTGGGGGCAACATGCTGACTCTGTAAACTGCTTAGAGAGTGGTGTAAAGCACTATGAAGCAGTATGTAAGTTTAAGTGCTATTGCTACAATTAATAATTTTCTTTCCTTTAAATTTATCTGATTAGAAATAGGTAGAATGGCACTGAATAGAATCATCTTTATATTTGGGTACATAATGAAAATAATTGAAACATTAATTGGTATGTTTAATATTTAGCCTTGAAATTAACACACATATTCATTAAGAAGTTTAAATACAGCTAATTCCAATGTTGTATTATTTACTTGATAGCTTAATCCCATCTATGGCTATTCAAAACTTAATATCTGCAAGCTCAATGTAGCTTAACTCCATTGGACATAGGAGCTCTTAAATAACATCTCCTTCTCGGATAATGATACCATCTTAGTTCAGCCTCAAATAATACAATGGCATTTGAAAAGTACAACAGAAAAGTCTACATTAAAGCCAGTGTACTGTGAATAATAAAATACAATAATAACAATACAAAATCTAATAAAAATTTTTATCCTGCCTTTATTACTTCAAATTATTACTTCATAAGTAACTCACTTCAGATGTAACACCCCTTCTTTGTCCTATTTTTTCCACAGCAATAACCTTGTGAGCTGGATTGGACTTCAAAGAGAGAGAGGTCACCCAACTAGCTTTGTGGTTTGTTTGTGTGCGTTGTGGCCTGATGTCACTTAGGTTTTTCAATATTCTGTGTCTGTACTATTATTTTGGGGCGTGGGTAGGTTCCTGGCTGTAAGCCACTAAAAATCTGTTAGATTGCAGCAGGATATACATTTCACCTCACAAACGCATTTTTAAGCCAAAGCCAATATTAGCTAGCCATTGTCATGTACTGGAACAGGGATCGTAAATGCAGTAAGCTACGATTTAACAGTTCCCTGATTTACCAGTTTGGATTGCAACTGGCAGTATTTGTGGTCAGATCTCTTTCCAAAATAACAGACTAAATCAGTGGTATTTGAAGTAACCCGGAGAGTTCATGTACATAAATGTTATGTCGCTTCCATATTAAAGGACTCAAATTATGGATTTACATTCAACTGACATTAAATGACAGATATGAATGGCTGCAACTCGTCATTAATAAACATTTAGGAGCAACAGTTCATCATGGTCTTTCCTTTTAATCTGCCATTCTCCATCCCACTCCCATGACTACAAAGAATCATGTCCGGAATCTTAACTTGCTCTCATCAATAGCAGAGTTACCTTGTAGTAAGATGGGTGGCCAATAAATTGAATAAACAGATAAATAAAAAGGTGGCATTGATCTTTGCAGTAGCATCAGCTACAATAGGTGACTAAGTCATTATAACACAAAATACTATGTACACTATTTGAGAGGCAAAGCAGCCAAGTGACATTGTACAATGAAGAAAATGTCATTACCATCCCCATCTGGCATCTACCTGCACAGAGATAGGAATAAATCTCTTAGTGACAAAATAGTGCCTCTCCGGATATGATTGAAATGTATTTCACCACCAGCTCCAACCCACCTGATCAATAGTGAATGATGCCGGCAATTGTATTTTAGCTGTTTCTGGAAAACTAAATGTTGATTAATACCTTGCCTTGAGCATTTTGTTTGGCTCTTCTCTCTTGAAATGAGGGATACAAATACAAATTGCTTGATAGATTTCAGTGAGATTTACAAAGGAAACTAACTTGAGGATTGAGCCTTTTATGATCTTTCAAATCCAACATGGATTGAAACCAGCAATACTATTGTGAAAACCTTGGCATCTTGTTTACCCACCCTGAATCATATATTGGTACTAATAAGTTCTGGCTCATTTTATAATAATGACTTATTTTGGAAATTCAAGCTATTGGCTGGCTCACTGATTATTTCTTGGAATAATTAAAAGCATTCCAAGTTGCTTAGAAACCTGTCATTTTTACATCTCTTTAATTATGATGTTTTGTTTTTTCCTTTATACATACATGTGTGTGTGTGTGTGTGTGTGTGTGTGTGTGTGTGTGTATAAATCTATATGCCATTTACAGAAAGAATTTCTTTTGTCTGAATCTGACTTTATCTTATCTTACAATTTCAATTTAAATGAGGTTGTTTGAGCAAACGATTGCTACTTGGAGCTTGTTTTCAAATCATGTAGGAATAATTTCTAGTATGATGCAGAGACAAAGAGGATCACACAACTTCCCATACATTCCCCACATGCAATCTGAGCAGCATACCACACAATACTTTAGGAACATTTGGAGAAAGAAGTTTCCTATTTCAAAACACTTTTGAAATATATAGCATATAGCAAACTGGAATCTTCAGTTCTCAATATGGATGGAGATCCAGGGATTTCAAGTTGAAGAGTTTCGAGTAAGATTATAAGGGTGTGTTTGATAAAGATTGTTATGGAAAAAAGGCCAGAAACTTAGGGAAAGCCAGCAGGAATTCAAGGGTAGGGAGGAATGAGAAGGCACTAGGGCAGGGGTATCAAATTCAGTTTCATTGAGGCCTGCATCAGGGTTATGTTTGACCTTGGGGAGGTTTAGGGGGGGCATAGCCAGGGTGCACGTGGCCAGGGTGAATGTGGCCAGCTTGACATGACTGGTGTCAGGGGTGCCTGTGCCAGAGAAAACAGGCTCCTGAGCTTTGTTTTCAGATGTGATAGTTTCCTGCAACCCCCTGCCAATGAAAATGGAGCTTGGGAAGGCCACACGCTGGCAGAGGCTGCAGGCTGGTCCTTTGCTGTTTTCAGGTTGCCCTCGCAGACCAGATCTAAGCACCCCACAGGCTGGATGCGGCCCATGGGTGTTGAGTTTGACACTCCTACACTAGGGAGATGGTAAACTGGAAGAACCATATGATAACTGGGAACACTGGAAAGGAAGAAGAGAGATGGGGTAATATATTCCAATCTTGTCCTATCTATCCTGTGAAATCCCTCCAAAGCTCCTGTAAGTTTTCCAAATATTCCAAGTTTAGTTTCTGCTGAATCACAGCTGATCTGGAATGACTTGCAAAACTTCCATAAGAAAAACAGTTTGTTTGGGATTCAAAACCAAATAAATGTTCTCTTTTGTGCACATTCCTACCACTATGTTGTATGAAAATATACAATTTACAAATTATTGCTAATGAAAGAAAATTATCCAATTTTCTTTCATTATCAAAAAAATGCAATTGTGTAAAGTACTACAAAGTGTACTTTACATTCTGTAAAGTGAATAGTGGATTTATCTAGATAATCTGTGACATGCTAGATTATCATTTCCATAACTAAAGAGAATGTGGCTTCTAAGCAATCTGTATCTGGTTTTCAGGGTTCCTTATATATTGATCACTAGCTGCCTTCCTCAAGGAAGGCATTAACTTCCATAAACTGTATTTCGTGTCTGCTAAAAATGGAATTTCACCAAGCCTGAACAGGTAAACAATGATCAATCTTTAATCTTCTTACCATGCACACTCAGCACAATTAGGATTGCATGAGCCCAAACTAAAGTCATTAGAACATGAGCCTCTTCAGCTGATAAGGTGCTTTTTGAAGTGGCTACCATAATATACTGCACAAGATACTGAATCATCTCTTCTTGACGTAGCCAAATGAACCAGCACAATATATTTGGGAAGCTGTCATGCCTAGAGTAAGCATTGCTGATTTAATAATC